ACCTGAGTGACTCTGAGCGCCGCGCCCGTAACCGGCAGGTCGCGGGGCCGGAGCCTGTGGCAGCCGTTAACCAAGGCGCCGAAGCCCCGGTGCTTCTCAGTTGGACGTTACTTTAGATAAAAGGATCTTCACGTGTGATGCCCCAAAAATGTTCAGTTGTTGAATATTGTAAAAATAATAGATTTTAATAATAGATTTTCACAACATTGATATAACACTGTAGAAACCATATTAGGCTAATTAAATCTTATAAATGTTTCAAATATAAAAATTTTGTTGGGGATCGGGGCTGGGGTGGTGCTGAGGTGTCACTTGCTGCATGGTGGCACTTGGGTCCCAGTTTGAGGGGCCCATTCGGGTAGGTGCATGGAACGTCTTGTCTCTCCTGCAGGATGACTATCTTCCCCTGCTGTCGGGGGAGCTTCGTAAACTCCGCATTTCAGTGGCAGCACTCTCTGATGTACGCAGACCGGGGAGTGGCCAGATCTCTGTAGGTAGGTCCACCTACTTTTGGTCTGCTCGGTCTGATGGCTGCTGTACTCAGGGAGTAGCTGTTGCTGTAGCGGATCGGCTCCTCACGATGGTGTCTGATGTCACTCCTTTCTATGAGCGTGTTATGAGACTCAGGCTAAGGCACTCCTTGGGTGTCTTGTCTGTTGTCTCAGTGTATGTTCTGACCACGGTGAGTAATATCTCATTGAGGGAGACATTTTACTCGCAGCTTTGCTCGTGGTTGATTGATGCCCATGAGGTGACACTCCACTGGTCATGGGTGTCTTCAATGCAACCACTGGGACTGACAGGGCTGCCTATGAGGATTGTATTGGTCCACATGGGTCTGGAGACCGGGGTGAAAGTGGCTCCATGTTCATTGACTTTGCAAAAGGTCAGGGGCTGTGGGTCACTGGAACCTGGTTCCAACACCCTGAGCCGCATCGTTGGACTTGGTACTCCAATACTGGTGATACCGTCTGATACGGCAAAGAAGATCGATCACATCCTCATGGACAGAAGTTGGAGGCTCATTTAGAACTGCAGGGTCTACAGAAGTTTGTGAATTCTGACCACAGTCTTTTTGTTGCTGGACGTTATGGCTAACCTGTACACTGGTACTTTAAGTGCTGTGCAGTGCATACGGAGAACCTCCACATTCTTCCCAGTTGATTCCGAGGTTCAGCAGGGGTGTGTTCTTGCTCCTACTTTGTTCAATGCTTGCATGGACTGGGTGCTGGGCAGGGTTGTGGGGTCTTTCAACTATGGGACATCTGTTGGTGAAGAAAGATTTACTGATCTTGATTTTGCCAACGATGCTGTGATCTTCAATGGAGGCTCTGATCAGGGCTCTTGAGAGACTGAGCGAGGAGTCTGAGTGTCTGGGCTTGCGAGTGTCCTGGATAAAGACCAAGATCCAGGCCTTTAATGACTTCTTAGGCCCAGCCATCAGTAGTGTGTCTGTCTGTGGTGAAGGTGTCGACCTCATTGAGAGGTTCATTTACCTCGTCAGCAACATTCATGTCTCTGGTGACTCGTCCTATGAAGTCAGCAGATGGATTGGGAGAACATGAGGGGTCATGAGGTCACTGGAAAGGGGTGTGTGGCGTTCCTGATATCTTTGTAAGGGGACGAAGGTCCAAGTCTTTAGAGTCCTGGTGCTCCCTGTCTTGCTGTATGGCTGTGAGACATGGACGCTATCCAGTGACTTGAGACGAAGACTGGACTCCTTCGGTACTGTGTCTCTTCGGCGAACCCTTGGGTGACGCTGGTTTGACTTTGAGTCGAATGACTGGTTGCTAGGTGAGTCCCGAATGAGTCACATTACCTGCATTGTGAGGGAGCGTCAGTCACAGCACTACGGCCATGTGGCGCGTTTCCCTGTGGGTGATCCGGCTCACAGGATCCCCATTGCTGAATGGCCATTTCCGGAGGGTGGGACTGGACCATGTGTCTCCCTGGGGGGTCGTCAGCCCGGATCCTGAGGCGTTTCATCATGTGTTGGGTGCAGCTACACGCTGTATCAGTGCCTGCTCCCCAAGCGGACCTGACCTGATTCTACAGTCAGTCTTGTGTGAACCGAACCAGTTTGAATTAAACAGTTTGTATCTAAAATGTAAAATATAACATGAACAAAACCACTGCAATTTTCCTCTGATAGAGCTGCATTTTGTTCTGTTAACAGATACCTTAGACAAACTGTTTCAAAGAAATGAAAAGTAATGCAAAATGTAAATGAAAATGTATATCTCGTTAAGTACAGTAAGGTTGGGTCAAATTATCCCTGCTACATACAATTAATCTGTTTAATATATTGTCAGAGTATGCAAATATGTATTGAATGATCCAAGAATGCTTTAGGAATGCTTTTAAAGCTGGTTATATCATTAACTTCTACAAAGATGAGCTGTTGCCCTTAAAAGTATCACAGCATCATGTGTTGCATGGATTACCTATAAGCAGTCTACTCTGATGCTTCATCCTGCAATCCAAAGACAAATGGTGATGCCCCGTGCCCCATGCTGCTTGTGGTGGCCCACCTACAGTACTGTATTGGATAAGCAATGGGAAGATGAACGATTTCCATTTAGTGTGATTAGTAGTTAGTGTTTACATGAGCCATTTCCGGATGGAAAAATGAAACATAAAAAATGAAACATAAAATCCAATGTAATCTTAGTTAATTTGAGCCAAATGTACACTATCAGAATGGTTTACATAATTGGCCTGGATTTGGTGTGCATTTCCATTCCAAAGAAAACAATGCCCCCTCCTGGCCTACAGATGCACAGCAGCATGCTATTGGAAAATTGGCAGCGATGCTTCAAATTTATAAATGATGAGCTTTTGCCTCCAGTTCTATAATAAAAATCTAATTGATTGGCTAGCAATACCATCTCAGACCTGTAGGGATGCCATTCAAATTCAAAGTCAGAGCTCCTTATGTAGTGTATCTCACCACACTAATCATGTATTTTTTTTTTTTTATCAGAAAACGTATTTTAATTATAAGTACTCCTTATTGTAGCCTCCTTAATCTCCCTGATTAGTATTTCAGCAGATAAAATCCTCAGATAGACAGGGGTCCCTGTATGCTCTGGCACCCTGGGTGAGACTCTGCTGAGATAATATCATAAAATGCAACCACAGATACTTCTGGTTTTTTTCACTGGCACTTCGGCATCCCTAATGAAATGGCGCCCTCTAGGCAATCGGCTGTGTCACTTGAAGGTTGGGCTTGCCCTGTATTTCATGACAGTGTACAGTGGTTGTTTAACTGCTCCTAGGACACATTTTGGTTTTGGTTCTATGCAAATGTTGGTAACGCATTACTTGAGGTCATGTTTTTACTAATTTATAAACACATTCATAACAAATAATAATGCTTTCATAAAGTCTAAATATTGAAAAATCTATAATAATATTGTTGGACCCCCCCTGCTTTCCAAGTTGCTTCTCCCCTCTGGGACCAGGGTTCAAGTCTCCCCCATGGCCACATGTGTGTGGAGTCCGCATGTTCTCCCCGTGTTTTCGTGGGGCTTCCTCTGGGTTTTCCGGTTTCCCCCCACAGTCCAAAAACATGCTGAGGTTAATTGGTGTTACCAAACTTTTGATAGATTACATCCTTTCATTGTCATTGCATATTAGTATACAAACTCCCATGACCCTTCATAGGACACATGGGGTTTAAAAAAAGATGGACTGATTTATTTTTCTAATTAGAACAAAATGTTAACGCATGGATTTTCAAGGAGATTCAAAATTGTAATACATTTATTAGTTCCAGAAGATACCAATCTATGACTGACTTTATGCTGTCTGCAGGCAATGGCTCACAGGTATAGCTTTGTATGTGTTAGAACTATACATAAAACACGTGTGTTTGTGATCGTTAATAAAATCACGGCCTTCACTTTATGTGCCGCTTTCCTATTAACGCTTTATTGTTTTATTACCAATACTTGGAGTTTCAACAATAGCAGTTTAACCTGCATTTATTATGACACCATATGACATTATATGACACCATATGACATTATATGACACCATGTATATTATATATGACACAATATGCATTATATATGACACAATATGCATTATATATGACACCATATGACATTATATATGACACCATATGACATTATATGACACCATATATATTATACATGCACATTTATTATGACACCACTGATTCTTCATTAAAAAGCTCATAGCTCAGTTCCACCAGAAAATCCCTAGATGACTGGTTTTTAGCTGAATTTGCAATAGCTGGGACCTTTAATAAACGGGCTTTAAGAGCTAAAGGCTTTAGAGCAGGGGTTCTCAAAGTCGGGATCGTGGGCCGGATGCAGACTGAACCACAAGTTAGTCCGGACCCAGTCGGTAATGCACCTTATGAATCAAAACGGTTAACGTGAAAAGGCGTAACGTGGTATGAAGTAAAATATATGATTCACACACAAATATATCAGACACACATAACTCGTCACAATTCCTCCCCCCCACATGACAGGGAATCAAAATGAGGTGCGAGCATTAAATATGCCTGGTATTGTTATATAAGAACATAAGAACTATACAAAGGAGAGGAGGCCATTCGGCCCATCGAGCTCGCTTAGGGAGAACTTAACTAATAGCTCAGAGTTGCTAAAATCTTATCTAGCTCTGATTTAAAGGAACCCAAGGATTCAGCTTGCACTACGTTATCAGGAAGACTATTCCATACTCTGACTACACGCTGTGTAAAGAAGTGCTTCCTTAAATCCAGTTTGAAATGTTCTCCCGCTAATTTCCACCTATGGCCACGAGTTCTTGTATTTGAACTAATGCTGAAGTCAGCATCCAAACCTGTTAGAATCTTATAGACCTGGATCATGTCCCCCCTCAGTCTCCTTTGCTTGAGGCTGAACAGATTTAGCTCAACTAACCTTTCCTCGTATGACATTCCTCTAAGACCAGGAATCATTCTTGTGGCCCTACGCTGCACCTTTTCTAAGGCCGCAATGTCCTTTTTTTATATCGGTGTCTGTATCGAAAGTTATTGTTAATTATGTAAAAGTCCATGAAATGCTGTTTTCTTAATGAAAATTTTTCTGGGCCGCTGACTTTGATCAAAAATCTGATGCAGACCTTTGATCAAAGTTTGAGAAACCCTGTTTAAAATATTATAATTAGTACCTGACACCTGAAACTGATGTGGATTATTATTTAAATAACTCCAGGAAAGTAGTTAAGAACTTATTTTGAGTGAAAACCTAGTCTGGCCACCACTGATGTACAGCTTCCATCACAAACAAATCAGACTGAAAACCAGCAAACCACACAGTCCTGCAGTTTTCCTGAGAGCCTCTTCAGCGGGGGGCAAATACCTACTATTTTGTCACATTGTAGCCAGATGTATATAGAGAAATCATCCCTTCACAGTCACTTCACCTGGAGGGGTTCTTGCAACTGTAAGCGATGGCAGTAAAGTCGTACGTCACAGTTAAAGCCTGTCTAATGGACACTTTATTAAGCTCCCGTCTGAGGCTCGATATTAGGAGGAGAGGACAGGAACTAGGCCCACTAAACAGAACTTCTCAGCAGGAGCGTAGTTCTTAAGTCGTTCTCCTGCTTTTAGGACTTCAGGGGCTTAGAAAGGGGCTTTTCAGTTCCACGTGGACATTTTTAGAAATGCATCTGGGAGACGCAGGAAGGAGACGCCCTTCAGCCCCAATGTCAGGAAAAATCTCAGCCTTAAAGAAGCTACTCTAAAACTAATCAGCTTACCCAGCATTCCACAGTCTTATCTCCATACATCTCCGTGTTCCAAATCATGTGCTTGGATTCATTTATTAGTTGAATCAGAACCTTTGCTGGGGAATATGTAAAAATATGTGAAGGTCAAGGGTACACATTGAAAGACTTGGGAAACTCTTCTTCCACTGTTACCAAGCATCCAGCCATACCCTAGAATTTGATGCTAATAGGATGGTGATGCTAGCAGAAATTAGCACATAAAAAATCATGATGTACACCATGTTGTTATGTCGGGCATTGCTACGACAATGCCGTGTTCAGATCCTTTTTACGTTTTACGGAGGTGAAGTAAAGTCCGTGTTTTTTTTCCGGATTAAATGGGTTCACTCCAACAAGAGTCTCGTCTGGTTTTGTCTGCTGCTGGAACATAACACATGTGAACAGTAAATAAGCATATCTTTGGTCTTTGGACATTGCTGTCTCTCTCCAAACCCGGCAACGCTGTTACCAAACTGACCCTTCTGCAGTGGAAAACCAAAGCGAGCTGGAATTATGCTGTAACTAATGTTTCTTTGCAGTACGGATTGGTTCTTGGTAGCAGTAGAAAAGCACTATTGCATTTGTTAATGACTCCTGTTGTTACGGCCTCCCGTTATCTGTGGGAAAGGTGCTACATTTCTCCTTCTTAATTTCCCCTTGTCCAAGAAATCGACAGGAATCTGTATACCAGAGAACAGAAAATAGCTCCTTGCTTATCTGCGTAAGAATATTTCTGAGACAATTTCAGAGTGGAGATACGAGTGTACAGACTTATCATCCACTTCTTGTCCATACTCATGTACGGTTTTAATGTTTTGATGTTCATTACTGTTTTTATTGATTTTTTACATACCGAGGTTAATCCAAAAGTCACACATCACAAAGCTTGTAAACTGATGCCAACCATAGCTACACGTATGTTGGCCCAGCAACATACGTGCAGCGAGGTTGTTTTAGAAGTTTTAGGCTCACTCACAAACAGTTTGATGTGTCGGGCTGCTTTACAGGATGTGCAGTGCTATTTTTGGCCTATTTGTAGCAAGACCTGGCATAGATGTTCACATTTTGGAATATATAATATATATCCATCCTACTGACACTTATCTAGTACAGTCAATGGAATAGTGAGAAAGGTGCAGCACATGGAGCCAATCACAACCAGCATAGAGCACAAGGCTGGAAGAAAACCTAGACAGATGCCAGTCCGTCACACGCGGCTCAAACGCGGCTCTGTAAATGATACCACAAACCCTCTTGGGGTCTGAACCAACAACCTCCAGCTTCTTCAAGTTCTTGGGTGCAGTCACTATCCTGCTTTATTCCTTACCATGTACATGACAGGCTAAAATGTTAAAACCCCAACCCAAGTCTTTATGCATTCTACACTCCTTACTAGTAATCTGACATTTTCATAATGCTGATGTGAAGTGTTTTGCATGCATATGTAAGAACATAAGAACATAAGAAATTTACAAAGGAGGGGAGGTCATTCGGCCCATCAAGCATGTTTGGAGAAACAAATGTAAAGCACAATAAAGTACAGAAAAAATGGGCTTCACTCCTAGTGATACAACACGATTGTCAGAGTGTTGGGCTGCAATAAATAATCAGTTACGTATGACAAGAAGAGGTCACACTTTGCTTAATCTGCTTTTATTGAACGTCTCTGCACAGACACGTTCCACCGTAATGCCTTCTTCAGTGTGCACAAAGCAGAGTGCAACCTCTTTTTGTCATATGTAAAGCACAAGCCATACTGTATAATGTCAGTGGATTTTTAAAAGCAAATAAAGTTACACATAAAGTGAGACTGTGACTGTAATCCACACAATAAGGATCAGATTTAATGAAGGCTGTCTTTTTAAAATAATTAACAAGTGCGCTGATTTAATCATGTCCAAGAAAAAAACCGGAAATGATTCCGTTTTTAGGAAGAGGCTCAGTGGGTAGTCCTGGGGCCTCACACACACAGCACTGTCATTTTTGCACTGCATCTCTGTCTGTATCTATGTATGGAATGTGGATTTTCTCTGTCTTCAAATGGCTTTCCTCTGGGGACTTCAGTTTCCTCCCACAAAGACAAAATTCAGTCCAAAGTTGGGCTTTTTGCTATTTTATCCCGAATGTCTGGCGCCTTGTGTCCTGGGGTAGGACTCAGTTCCAGTGTCACCCTGCACTAAATAAGTGGCTCTTGGAAAATGGATTGATTGTTCAGCTGTTTAAAGGTACAGTATCTAACATGATATGCTTCCTCTCTGCAAAATGCTTCCACGCCAGCTAATGTTCTACACAGAACCCTCATTTAATGTTTCATGAAAATCTAAAGGAGAAAACTGACTTTTATGAAAATCGAGCTGAAGGATTTTGTTTTTTATTCTCTTTGGACACAGAATGTTTAAATATAAAATACTATGACAATGAATGGGCTTCAGCATTTATTGATTTAATACTTATTTAATAGTTTAACAATTCAGTGTGTTTACTAAACAAAGCATATAGGCTTTGTTTACACCTCGACCACATTTTAACAGTCACTGCCACTGAGCAGCTACATTATTTTTGAATCAGACCTCTTTTGTGGATCATTATCTGCGTGAAATATGAAGGTTCAGATCACCTGATGACGCTGGACCAAACGCCATCAAAAAATGGAGGAGGAGTCTATGAAAAACAGCAAATATCAAATAAAAGGAGACTTAGCAGTCTTCTTGAAGTCATACATAACTTCTCAAAACTAAATGGTCAGAGATCATTTTAAATAAACATTTTTCAATCATATAGATGGATAGTTAATGCAAGATAGTGACTGAAGCATTTTAGTTAGTTTATCACTTAAAAGTACAACAGCTGTTCCCTTCCTGCAAACCTTTGATCACTGTTCTTTTCTACATTGCAGTTGTTTTCTCTCTTTTTCCATTCCCTCTAAAGCTGTTATGCTCTCTACACCAGCTCTCCTCTCCCGCATCATTTATTCCTTCATGTTTATAAACACTTTCCTCTGTTTGCCTCTTATCATCTCTCCCATGAGGTTCTGTAACTTATCCCAAAATACTGACGTGTCCCAGCCGAGTTGACCAGAAGCTCCTGTTCATTGCAGGCGGACAACAGGAGCTGAAAAGGACCAAAAAACCTCAAAGAGATTTCCACACAAAAGTGACCATATGATTACAGGTTCTGTTCCGCCACAAACACGTTCTGAAGCAGCCGAACGCAAGATGAAGAGGAGGAAGAAGGAGCGCCGCAGTCGGACCACCTTCAGCAGCAGCCAGCTGCAGGCCCTGGACCAGGTCTTCGAGCGCACGCACTACCCCGACGCCTTCGTGCGAGAGGAGCTGGCTCGCCAGGTCAACCTCAGTGAGGCCCGCGTGCAAGTAAGAAGCACGGCATGCTGGGAAGTCCCCACTTTAGCATCCACTTTGATGCTTGGCCCAGAATCTGCCAAGAGTCAAAGGCAGCTGATGTCAGCTTCTCTTGTCCCTCTGCTTCGTGCTGCTCCACCCCTGCTTACTCACTGTTTCAGGGGAGGGACAAGGGAAGCAGGAATTCACAGGCAAATTTGATAAGGTCTTTTTGGGCAGGGAAGGTCATGTGTGTTTCTGGGGAGCAGGGGGTGTGTACAGGGGAGGGCCACAAGGGCACTGGCCCCAGCTGAAAGCTGATTGGCCCCCTACATACATGTTATCAGTTAATATCCATATAAAGAAATGGTTTCTTAACCTTTTTTGCCATGGTCACTTGTGGTAGTTTGCTGAAGGCTGATGAAGGGACCCCATCACCCCCAAGCGTCAAGTTTTGGGTTAGAAAAAATAAAGATGTTAATTTTTATCCCATCCAAGTCCTGAAGTGTATTTACCCCAGGATAAGGACCCCAGATTTAAAGTAATGTTCAATCTGTGTTAAAGAGAGTTGGAGCAACAGGTCAGGTCACTGAGCCTCACAGAGTAAACTGCGTATTCCTTAGGGACGGGCCGATCCACGTTTTTAAGTTCAGATCAGATTCTGATACAAAACTGCCGATACTGATTCCGGCACGAGCTCTTTTTACTTTAGTATTTTAATATAATGAATATATAATATATAAATATGTATACTTTATATATCACTGTTTTTTAAACCAGTAATGAAAATTTTAAGTATTTAAAAGGAAAAAAAGATACCAAAAATCTTTAATTTGGCTACTGGAAACATACGTAACATATACTGTTGCACTTCATTCGTACATTTTGTTTTGAGCGTTTTTCAGTCATCTGCAGTTCAATCTGAATATCTTCCAAGAGAGTATATACAAGTGACTAAGGCTTAAAATGCCCCCACAATGTTTCTCCCACTGGCAGCAGTGTCACTTACACTTTGTTGTGAGATCGCAGCCCCTCCTGTTTCACAAGCTGTAGCGAGTGAGCAAACAGCCCAAGCTAGCGACTCCCAAATCATCCATTGCCTTTTTCATATTACTCATGTTGTCCCGCAGTGGGATTTACCACTAAATGTTACTCTCACCTCTCAAATTTTGTTTTTACAAAGACTGCAAATCACTATTAGTTGCTGTTAAAAGCATAAAATACTCCCAGATCGCCACCCTCTGGTCCGATGTTCTTACACTCCGCCTACTTCGAAGGCTATGCGCATGACATCACAGTGGGCGGGAGTCACCGCGCTCACAACCACTGAGTGTCAAATAGACTGAGTGGCAGCGTTAACGTTCAGCTTGAATGCCGCAAAAACACATCAGAACTGTTCTGCGATTGATTGTACAAATAGTCTCACGGTTTCTTTTATTTATGAAAAATTCACTGGTCATCTTAGTGGTTAATATTTACCTAGTTATGAGGAAGGACAGAATAAAGAACAGAAAAGTCACTGATGTTACCATTGTTTTTCATAAATGCATAACTAAATTCATAAGCAAGGTGGTTTCTAGCTATTCAAAGGTCAGGGGCTAAGTCAAGTTTACCTGGGACTTTGTTTTTGAAGGAAGATTGGCATCGGGGCTAAAATACTCGTGGCTCGGCTTAAAATACTATATGGACCTAACAAGGCCCATGTTCGTAGATATTCTAGTATCAGTTTTCTATATTTTCTGAGAAAGGCTGATGGGTACATCATCTACTCAGTAGCCTATACAAATGTTCTGTAAATATGAACACAATATAACAAACAGGATACTTTTATGAAAAGACTTTTATTATGAAACCAGGACTGTAAATCTCGCACTGCAACTGAAAAATTTCACTCTGCTCTTCTTGTACTAAGATGTCACGATCATCTCATTTTCACTTTATATTTATGGTGGCTCATAAGTGCCAGCGAAATGCCACCTTGCCTTCACATCGTAGGTGTGGTTCCAGAACCGACGTGCCAAGTTCCGGAGGAATGAGAGAGCGGTCCTAGCCAGCCGCTCCAGCAGTCTGCTCAGGCCCAATGACCAGGGGGCAGCCCTCGACCAGCAGGTGGCGCCACACTCCACCCTCCTCAGCTCTGACTCTGTCTCATGGTCTCCTCCCACACCTTACAGGTAGCCCCTCCCCCCACCTAGCATACAGATATGTCCCCACGTGATGTGGTGTGTGGCTCAGCAGTTTCGGCTGTTGTGTCTGTGATCGGAAGGATGCTGGTTCAAATCCCTGAGTGATTTTACTACAGGGCCCTTGAGCGAGGCCCTTAACCTCAATTGCTCCAGGGACTGACTGTCCCTGGTTTCACAATCCTATGACACTTTGGATAAAGAGTATCTGCTAAACAAATAAATGTTTAAAAGGGCACTACACCATTGGAGTAAATGATTAAATATTTACCAGCACCCGTGCCTTACATGAAAGAATAGTGAATAATAAATATTTATCTCAGCATTTAATCACCATGGACAAAGACATCTTGAAAGATGAATTGTAATAACAGCTCTACCAGGCCGTGGCTGAAGGCAGAGATTAGTATTGTGAGCCGCCAGTCAATCTGCTGTTACGTCCCATTTCCTCAGCCTGGCTTCACCCAATGGCCCCCAGGACGTACAGCTGAGTGGAGCCAGTATGGCCAAGAGCATCAGCAGCCTACGCCTAAAGGCCAAAGAATACAGCCTGCATCACAGCCAAGTGCCGACGGCCGACTGACACCTGCACAGCGCCGCATGATCCTGCCCGTCTCCCAGACACAGGACGAGACCACTGGCACAGTGAGACCCCAGTGAGAGACCGAGGGACTGCCAGGAAAAAAGCTGGGCCACTGGGCACTCACTGAGTTTACAATAATATGTGTACAATCTGCTGAAAAGCATGAAGTGGTCAAAATGAAGTTGTGTAATGAAACATTTGTTTAAAACATTGTATTGTTTTTTTTGTTGTACCTCCTGATTTTCCCACCAAAGCAGTGGATGGCTCTAATTGCATTCAAGCTAGCCAGCAAAACAATTTAAAACTTGAATGTGTTGAATGTGTCAAAAGCTTAGTCAGTTCAATTGCTGCACAGACTGACTGTGTTAATTCAGTGTTTTGTTTTATTATTGTTTTGTTTTGTTATTTTTGGGATATGTTCCATGTTCCGGAATTTTTTCAAAGTGCCTTTATGTTCGTGACCAGAGTGTTTTTTTAAATTCTTATCAAACGAAGGATAACACAATATATTGTTAAATTCATTCGGATATCACAGTGTATCAATCCCATAGTTTTGGAATGAAAGAGGACAAAATCCTCAAAATATCCCAGGAAGCAGATGTAGTTTCCAAGATTTAAGAACCCAAGTGGAATTATGTTTTCCTTTCTGCTGTTAATGAAGTATTTGCTTCCTTTGGTTTACCTGTTCCTGTGTTATCAGTAATGCCTCTTTGCATGTCTTTGACAAAACAGAAGTTTCAGGGATGATTAAAATCACCGGCGCCATGATTGTATCTGCAGTATAAGCGACTGCACGCCGGCCAGGAAGCTCATTCACTCCATCTGGAGGCATCTGAGTGGAACCCGCCTCGGGCGCCCGGCCCACAGAATCAGTAGTCTGCAGCTGCAGGGTGTTACAGCCAAGCAATGCATCGCCTGCAGTAGATCATATTTAAACGTTCTGCTTATGTGAGACGTTGCAGGTTTGCACAAGCATAATGGTGACGGGCTAACTTCTGGCACATCTGCTTCAAACGCGAAGCACTGCCCCTTACTACCTATATACGTGACGGGAATATCGTTTAGCTTGCACCAGTTTGGAAATGCTGCCTAAATCCAAACCTTTTAAAAGAATTCCCGGTGGACGAAGAAAAACTGTAAAACGAAAGTCAGTCAGAGTCGCACAATGTCAAAGTAGGTGGCCGCTACGATATAGTGTTTCACACTCGATGGTTTCCATCGGGCTATCATGTCTCAGTGCTTGCCGACAGGAGGGATGTAAGATATGAAAAATGAGAGCAGTTCCTTTTGCAGACTTGCTGTATTATGGCCCATTTGAGGAGACTGGACTCCTGCAGTGCCATACATAGGCAAAAAACAGGGCTGCAAGCTTTCACGCTCACACAAGAAATCTTATGACAAATCTGTTATTCCATTACAAACTTATAATTAGCTACATCAAAAGCGTTGGGGTAGTTTGCAGACCCAGCAGACTATTTAGAAGGTAATAAAACTGTTACATACATGTGAATGTGTGAGGAGACTTGGCATCGAAAATCTCACACTAAGAACTATTGTAAGCTAAGAACTATTTCAACCATAAACCTTACATTAATCTTCTATTGTCAATAGTCCTATAGAAAAGTGATGTATTTTTGGGTAAAGAAAGTTCAAATTTGCAGGAGTACAGGCAGCCGTCTGGGGCGCCTGAAAAACTGGGGGTCCATGAAGATAGAATTTTCACAACTTACGTTCATGTATATAAGATAAATTGTCATTTAAGTTACAGACAAATGTCTGTTATTTGCATTTTAGTGACAGTTTGAAGGAGGTACTAAGTTGCCCACATCCCCGCTATAATGGACTACCCCACTTTGAAACTTTGATGCTTAGCTTTCTTTTCCCACTCCGTTCTACCGGTTGTTTCACTGCCAACCGGAGCAGTATAGAGTTGCCCAACAAAATATGAAAACAGCGAAAAGATACAAGAAACACGGAATGATTAAACTTCGTCCATTTCGATCCAACAGCAAGATACTTTCTTGCCCCCGATACGTATACCGAATGGGCCCCTGCCCCCACGCTGATTGGTAAGTACCACCGGCACACCTCAATTTAATTACATGATGGATGTTCTATTGTTTCGGCGCCAGAAAAATTACTGAAATCCCCTTTTAGGGGACCTCTATCCGTGTCACCCTAGAGCCCCCAGAAAAGTCAGTCCACCCCTGGTTTTGGCACTCTGCCTCAACAGCCTTAAAACAGTGAAAGCGCTGCATGGTATTTCCCACCAGGTGGCACTATAATGAAATTACAACAATGATATAATTTCCCAGAATCTTAATCCATTTTGTACCAGGAAACAGCAGTAGATACCAGGGTTGGGGCCATTCAGGAATGCATTGATCAATTCCAGTCCAAGTCAGGAGATGAAACTGGAGCTGGGATTGGAAAAAAAACTACAGGGAACAGAGTTGGAGTTGAATTTGAATTTCAGGGAGATTTAAGTTCCAACTCCAGTTCCATTTCCTGATTTGGACTGGAATTGATCAATGCATTCCGGAATGGCCCCAACCCTGGTAGATACCAAGATAAACCACAGTTATCTTAAAAAATGTGCATGGTTTAAGTGGGACTATGTATATGCAAATATATAACATTGCAATCAAACAAGGACTCATGTATCATTCTGTTTATATGACTGCCTGAAATCCCAGCTTCACATACTATGCTTCACTACCATGGAATTCCAGTCAGTGTCACACAGGCTCCTAATATGGAAAGGACACTTTTATTGATTGTGCATTTTTAGCCAAACAAATCTCATTATCATTGTTTTCCTTCTTGAAAGAAAATTAAATTACATTCAACATATTAGGTAAAGACAGAAGATGTATGTGAGGTAAATATTTTTTTTATATATTCATACAGTACCAGTCAAAAGTCTGGACACACCTACTGAAAATCATTAATCAGCAAGATAGTGACCCTAAGCGCACCTCGAGGTTATATAAGTGCTGTGTTATCTTGTGAACAAGGAAAGAGATGGAGGGCAGTGACTGATGAACTGGCCCCACATTCCCTGACCTAAACCCTAGTGGGCTGGTTTGGGGTGCGCTGGATCGAAGAGTAAGAGCAAGGTAGCCAACGTGTGCCCAGAACTTGTGGAAAGTCCTTCAGGACAGTGTGAGAAGCATTCGACATAGCTCCATGTGGAAGCAGGCTGAGAGAACGCCAAGAGTCTGCAATGCTGTTTTCAAAGCAAAAGGGGGCTGTTTTCAGGAGTATAAATTGTCTAGTTACATACTGATCTCATGTTCAGTTATTAATGAATCCTTACGCGTGCTTTATCTCAAGCAGTTTGTTACTGTGTCTGTTAATTCTCTAAACCTGAAGGAACAAGTCATGAATAAAACAAGTGAAATACTGATCTCATGTTTGTTCATCATTAATGAATCATGGCACATCTTTTATCTCAGGTAGCAACTATGTTTGATCATGATTTGTATTTCAGCAGTAACTGAGTTATTACTAAGTATTTGTACCCCATCAAGTAAAGTGTTACCAAAAATGTTTATTACAGAAGCATGTACTATAGTGAAAGCAACTTAATCTCAAGATCATGAATAATGGTCTTGGACGGCTTTGTTCCAGCGATCTCATAGCTTTTGAATTAGGAAAATTTTACATGAGAACTGAATTGACCATCCTTGTTCCCTTTCAAGTCCAGTCACCCATCTGATGATACACACTACATGTTCTTTCATGCCCATAAGGTTATGCCTGAAGTAATTGTTCAGAAGGAAGCTGAATAATCATTCATTAGGGCAGTGGTCCCTGAATCCCACGTATGCTTTGTATGTGTATGGAGTTTGCATGTCATTCCAGTGTCCAATAGGCTTTAGGCTGCAGTCCAGCGACCTACAGCCAGGCAAGCTGGCATCTCAAAGTTGTGTGTATTGTTTGTGCCCTGTGATGGACTGGCATCCCTATCAGGGTGTCCCCCCGCCTTATGCCCTGTGATGGACTGGCATCCCTATCAGGGTGTCCCCTGCCCTGTGCCCTGTGATAGACTGGCATCCCATCCAGGGTGTCCCCCAGCCTTGTATCCTGTGATGGACTGGCATCCCATCCAGGGTGTCCCCCAGCCTTGTATCCTGTGATGGACTGGCATCCCATCCAGGGTGTCCCCTGCCCTGTGCCCTGTGATGGACTGGCATCCCTATCAGGGTGTCCCCTGCCCTGTGCCCTGTGATAGACTGGCATCCCATCCAGGGTGTCCCCTGTCAAATGTCCAATACTCCCTGAGATAAGCTCCAGCCCCCCCTCCCCAAAACCCTAACCCTAACTCCCACCCTCCATAACAATGACCAGGGTTCACAGATCTGAGATGCATGAAAATGAACATGCAAGTTATAGCATAATGATGTTATCCATTGGTTTTCTATTATGGCTGATCCAGGTTAGAATCTTGTGGGGGGGGGGGGGGGGTCACAAGGCTGTGCACACCCTGGGTGGGATGCCAGTCTATCACACAACACACAGACACACACAATTACACAGCGTGGGGAATTTAAGACCTAATTGCACCTACCTGAAGGACTGTTGGAGAAAACCCATAGAGACATGGAAAGACAGTCATTATGAAAAAATGAAATTAATTATATATGTGAACTGAGCAACATATGAAGCAGACTGTACTTCTGTACCAAATAGCATGTTAGCCATTGTGTAAAAAGAACCTGGTAACTATTCATTCCAAACAGCATTCCAGCATCATTCCTTGGTACAGAATATCAAAAGGAAATTGCCTGAGCCTGAGAATATTTCCTGTTACTCCATGCAAGCACTCAACAAGACAGAACAGGCATTCAGTCTATACAACTCACATCCATTCAACCAGAAACCAGCTCCTTTCTAAAACATTTATATGCTGGGATTACAGTAAAGGTTTCTACTCTGCATCGACTCCAATGTTAGGCAGTAACAACACAAAACTGTCTTAATTCTGAACGCTCACCATCTACAGTCAAAGCCCTTGGACTCTCCTGCATTTAGGGTAAAATTGCTTTGGTAAGTCACGCCATCAAAATGCAGTGTCAGCGTGTGTGCAGACAATCACACTCTGAATCAGGGGTCTGGTGTAAGTTAAATAAGCCCTTGGGGTGTGCTCCTACGCCTCCACGGCCAGCTGGATTGTCTGCCCCTGGGAGCCTTTTGTGTAAGCAGCTGAAGAATGTTGGACTTAAACGCTGGGTGTGTGCTGGACACAGCCTGGGCCTCTGTTAGGGGGAAACAGTCTTTCCCCAGCATTTCCATGATGAATCCAAGGCTTACAAATTAATTATGCTCAGATAAACACAACTAACATGCAAAATATTAGAGGTTTTTGTTTGCCTTTCACTGCAGGCACAAGCAAAAATTCTTGGCACAATATGCAGACTGAAAGAAGTATGATCAGATAAGAGTGCCATTAATCAAATTGTTTTTACTACATACCGTGGATTTTACAAGGCCAGAGATGAAGGCTTGTGTCGAGTGCTGGCAGCTAGATCCCAGTGCACCTACATGAGACCCTCATGCATCAGTCTGCCTATACGACTGCCTGAAATCCCTGCTCACAAAATACAAGTTATGCTCCACTACCATGAAAATCCCAGTCAGTGATACACAGCTCCCACTTTGGTAACAACAGTATCACTAGCTGTGCATTTTTCAATCCCACTTTCATTGATTTTGTTCTTGAAAGAGCATTAAGTTGCATTCAATGTTTTAGGCAAAGATAGTAGATGTATACGACGGAGGTAAATCGTTTTTTTATACATACATAAAATGCTAGTCAAAATTCTAGACACTTACTGAAAATCATTTGTTTTTCAACAAGATAACAACCCTAAATACAACTCAAGGTTATATAAGTGCTGTGTTATCTTGTGAACAAGGAAAGAGATGGAGTGCAGTGACTGATGAACTGGCCCCACATTCCCCGACCTAAACCCTATTGGGCTGGTTTGGGGTGAGCTGGATCGAAGAGTAAGAGCAAGGTAGCCAATGTGTGCACAGAACTGCTCCCGGACTGTGGGAGCAGCATTCCAGGTGGAAACATCTGGAAGCTGGCTGAGAGAATGCCAAGAGTCTGCAGTGCTGTTATGGAAGCAAAAGGGGGCTGTTTTGAAGAGTCCAAAATTTGACACTGAACACATCTCTTGGCCATTGCAATTGCATTACTTCATTGCCTGAAGGCCTTTTAGTATAAGGTGAATAACAGCTGAATGAGGGACAAATGCATTAAAAGCAGTTGTGTCCAGATTTGTGACTGGTACTGCAGTAGATTCAAATAAAAGTTTGAAGTGCTCGAACATGAACTCAAATGTTACAGACCGCTATCGCTAACCGGGCTTTTAAGTATGGCTTAGGGGGACACATCCCATAATATGATTTTTGTTAGTTTTCAAAAAAACTCATTGGACCATTGCAGCTCCGTGAACATTTAGGGAAACAATAAACTGCTTGTCCAGTACAGGCACACCCCGCAGGCTGGAGCTCTGTCCCAGGGAGCACAGGTAAGGGACTCTGTGCTTGGGGTAAGAGTCACAGGTAAGGGACTCTGTGCTTGGGGTAAGAGTCCATTGTAGGGGATACACTCTCACACATAAAGACACATAAATCAGAGACACCAATGTATGTACTGTAGGTGGATGCATGGATGGATGGATGGATGGATAACTTTATATACATTAACTGATGCTGTCAGCTAGAAAAAACCAATAACAACAGAAAGTTACACTAATAACAGACAAATACTTATGAATGCATATTTAATACGAATGTGGATGGCTCTATTTTACCAGTACCACATTGTGATCTCAGTATAAAACTACATGCACAATATGACGTGCTATTATCCGTGCTACGACTGTTACGCAAAACATGCACTAGTCTAAGTGACAGCCTGTTCAACTGAGCATCCATGGATAGCAGCATCTTGCTACAACATTGCTATAATTTTACAGCATGTTCAGAAAATACTCAGTCATGCAAAATATTTTTTGAAATAACCCTTTTCATAGAATGGCTCCGGTTGCTGATAGACTTCACTGCATTTTCCTGACGGAGTGACTACAGCACTTCTATGAGTAAAAGACTGCCTGGTAAATGACAGTTTTAGGAACGGTAATTTTTCCTGCTTTCTGTGGAAAACATTTCTAGAAATGAGAAAGCAAAACATATATCATCAGAGGTAAAAAAAAACCAAAACACACACACACATTTAGTAATGATAACAGCCTTCATGCAAAACACTTTTGGTCACAAATAAAAAAAAGACCACATTCTTAAATATTGCCATCATCTGCGACATTACATACATTATGCATAGTATCTGCACTTTAAGTGTTCCAAGGTACATTAAAGCAGCCGCAAGCTATATATCCCTTGGTCCTCACAGCTGACGTCATCATTTTGAAGGCAACAGTGTCTTTGAAGCCATGCCAGGCTGAGAACAATCACCAGTGGGAGGCTACAGCAAAGAGGATCTGCAGAAGCATGGAGAGGCACGGCACCTGGCCGATGACGTAGGCCACGGAGCGAGTCGGAGCCTTCAGCTGGCAGAGGTATGCCACGCTGTGAACGATTCGGCAGAGGAAGAACACCAAAAAGTGGAGGCGTGCGACAGACAGCGTGGGCTCCGTCAAGGAATAAATGGCGCCTAAGAAAAAGAAGGGAAATATGTTCTCCATATCATTTTGATGAGCCCTGCAACAGAAAGACAAAGAAAACAAGGAAATTGAGCCTTTGTCCTCTTTTTGCACCATTGCAAAAGTGGCCACTCTACAGTGAAAGTGTTGGCCAAGTAGTAACTGAACTTTTGTTCTAAGTTCCAGCTGCGAATAAACATCTAAGTTTTGTTGTTTTTTTTTTGTTGAACATAAACATGACATTCAAGACATTTAAAAAAAAGAATAGCTGTATGCATAAATTGAACTGCCGGACTAAACATACTAGAAATCTCCTTGCAAAAAATATATGATTCACAGACAATTTGAGGTTAATTCGCTCTCATTTTGACTCACGTCATTTAATCATAATGAAAATGTGAAATTCTGCATCACTTCTCAGCAATGATGGCCCCTGCCTAAGCTCAGACTGAGATGTGGCCAAACTCTACCCCAAAGGGGCACAAACACCCCTGATTCATGGTCATCATCCCAAGATCAGAAAAACAGCTGGTATTATGCAATGCTGCATATTTTCACTTGTGCATAAGACATCTCATCTTTCAGTTAAATACTTCCTCACTTTCACTTCCTATTCTGACATTTTGGTACTAATAGCAAAGGTTTATAGGACAGAAGACCAACACCATTTTTGATAACAGTTGCTAGACAGTAAGTGCTTTAATGTTTTTTTTCTTGAATTACCTCATTATACTCTCGAGATATTTGTTTTCTTTTCTTGAGAAGAATGGAAAGTATTGCTGTATTTAAAAGTAGTTCACGATACTGTGATGTAATTTCACCAATCCAATAAACCAACAATTTCTAAAGCATACAAACACTGTTATGCCGTGGTCCACTTCCTTACTGATAAGCAAGGGTATCGCTAAGGCTGCAGCCCCTAAAATATTCTTTGCCCCGCCCCAGTAATTGTACACTACCTTAAATAGTGTACTCATTCGTTTTCATTAAAATGAGAGGCCCAGTAAAGGATTACCCCTCCCCCACGAATCCCTAGCGACGGTCCTGCTACTAAAGGAAACAACTGGTTCTGAAACCCGATTACTTACGGGGAGGCAAGAGGAGAGCAGAGATTGTGTCATAAAATTCTGGCTGAGAACAACAATACGGTTAGTCATTTAATGACACCGCGCAACTAATTTCCTGTTGCAAAATGCGCTTTCTTTAGACATAATTATGGTCTTTCATTTTTGTTTTATTTTCAAAAACATTTTTAAGCAAGGAGCTCATTGTCTTTAAACGAATAAGGATTTTGCATAATTATACAGATACCGCTTAGCCTCCTGAGATTATTAATGGATATTAGTACTGTAAGAAAACGCCGGTATTGCAGGCAAAACTAATCCCGCGGAGTTGGACGGCTTGGTTTTTCATACCATAAATCCAAGTACTGTACAAGGACCCCACACCGGAAAAAGACACCTACTCTACTTTTAAAGATACTGGAAATAATTTATCGACATGCCCCAACACGTACTGTAAGAAGCGTTCTTTGAAATATAATTAACAGTTAATTCGGTATTAAAACCGACACCAAAATCGAATAAACGAATGTTAATCATTTTAATGCTAAAAGTATGTCGTGTGTTGAACGACCCTAATCATGTCGTGGACACTTATTCATTGTAATAATAACCAAAATAGGACAGGCTGACCTCCTGCAGCGCTCCACGTAGGGGTCCTCTCTGTGGTACTGTACTCCTCCGTGCCGCAACGCATCTTCGGGATTAGCGAACGCCTTTTAAATCACAGTATACAGAGCGCGTCAAATAAACACATAAAACATACCAACGTGCCGAAGAGGCACGTATTCATAAGGCAACTGCAATCCTACTTCAAAGTCACAAAAGATATGTGCAAAGTATAAGCCCGTTTAAGGATTCCGTTTTTCAGAACAAATACTCACCTTTTTTCGCAGCCTGACTTGCCCCGTGATAACTGCGATGACGTACATTTTGAAAATAAGTAGTACGCTATAGAAAGCGAAAGAGGCGAAGACTTTATTATCCAGCATGGCTCGCTGCGGCTCGCGCACTCCGAGTCAGGGCGACGACTGAGCGCGAGCCTCCCTCGCTTGTTTATAACTCCCGGTGGAAGCGCATGGCTTCTTTTCGTGTTTCATCACAGCTGATGCAAGGCGGCCAAAGAAATGCTGTCTTCATGAATAATACTCTATAAGTATCCATTTTTATGTTAAAAACTGTATTTGTATCAACGTTATTCTGTGACATCTTTCATGCTAGATATGAAAATAGTTTCTCATTTTGATTTTTTTTTTTTGGAAAGGGGCAAACTTTGCCTATAAGTTGGATTGCCTGAGACTGATTTGATTTTTATTGATTAGCATTCACATTCAAATATCTGAATGAATACAAAATAAAAATGACCACAAAGCAAAAACACAGGACAAAGCTAATCAAAAGGTATTGGCTGAAGCATATGCTTATTTCGCCAACCTCTTTCTATATATAGATAAACCTATGGCCCAGGGCATGGGCGTCGCCACCATTAAATCTGAGGGGGACATGTCCCCCTCACATTTCATAATTATTCATTTGGACCCCCCCGCATTTAACATAAAATATTAGTTTTATGCCAGTGTGCCCCCCTACATTCAAAATGCTTCTGACGCCCCTGGCCCAGGGAATTATCCATTATCCATTAGGGAGACATGTATCATCCCAACTGATTGGAAAACAGGATTTTTGGTCCCTGTCTGGAAAGGGAAGTGTGATCGCCGGGATTGTGGGATAAGACTGGTCTCAGTGCCGGGTTAGGTCCTTGCTAGGATCCGTGATTACGTGCTCGCCTGTCAGTGACAGGAGCAGTCTACCATCAACCACATGCTGGAACTGAAGGGGTTCTTATCAAGCACAAGTATGAATATCAGCAGAGGTTCTTTGCAGGCTTTGCCGATTTTCATAAAACGTTTGACTCAGTTGATTGAGTTGCCCTGTGGGACATCCTGAGAATCCAAGGTTGATAGGCCTAAGTTCTGTTTGGCTGTGGTTTATTTCAGGTAAATTCTCCTGTTTCTGGTTTATAAATATCACAATAATACATATAAGGATGGGTCACACCCTGAACAGGATGTAAGTCATCTGACTTTTAACTTATTTCATAAGCATGCATTATTATTTATTACTTTATTACGATATATGAACGTTCACCAAAGCACTTGTTGACAAATGGATAAATGAAGGGTATTGAGTAGGCAGCTGAAGATAAACGATAAGCATCAAAGAAGGCTGTATGTTTTCACATTCACTGAGAAAACTGCAAACATATACTTTTACTATTTACTAAGACAGGAACTCCGCTTCAGGGAAAGAGATATGCATTTTTTTAATCCACAAAAACAGTTTCAGTGGTATGTGGCCCTAACCCCGAAAATGCCCCTAAACCCAAAAAAATGCCTGAGAGGTGCCAGAAAATAGCTAATGCTGCACTCTGAACCCAAACTTTGCTCTCATCTGCCTGCTTGGATTTGGTTGTACTTGCTACCAGTTCAATGACAATGAAGTTGCTCTGTTTCATCTCTTGCAACTTCACCCGCTTAAAACATAGAAAATGAAGAACTTCAGGGACTTTTCAAATTGGGTATAATATCTACCATACTTAATGTATCAGTAACCACATAATGTCTTCCAGCATTTTTTTACATGTTCATTTTTTTGAACATGAATATAAAATGTGGATAAAATGCAGTTTGATTATTCTTACTGTTTCGTTTGAATTGGATTTCGTATGTATTATAATGATACCTTTGACTTGGAGTGAATGCAGTTTTGCAGCCGTGGGTCTTTGCAGTATAACAGCAGACAGAGAGATATTTTTTTTCCTACCATTTCCTGATCTCATGTGAGTGCCATTAATCTCACCACAATGCGAAATGACTCAGAAGATCTACTTATTTACACTGCTCTATCTCCTCACTTTCACAAGATCTACCGTTTCAAAACCAGCAAACAAAACTTACACTGCCCGGCCAAAAAAAAAGACACCATTGAATTAGCTTTGATTATGGTGCTCATTTGTCATGGTATTGTTTCCACAAGTTTATACAACATCTCACCAGATTTGCATTAATTTCTCATCGAGTTCCTGTATTGACTGTAGTGAGTTGAACCACTCCATGAAGACCCCTTCAGCACATCCCAAAGACCTTCAATGAGGTTAAGGTCACAACTCTGTGGTTACCAAGTCATGCATGAAAATGGTTCCTCATGCTCCCTGAACCACTCTATGACAATTCGAACCCAATGAATCTTGGCATTCTTTTCCTGGAATATGCCCAGGCCAACAGGGAAGAAAAAAATCCATTTATGATGGATGGAGGTGTAAGCTGGCCATTCAGTAGATTCAGGTACTCAGCTGACTTCACTTTATTGCTGCATAACATTGCTGAGCTGTAATAATGATCCAGTCATTGGCTCTTAAGTATTTGCTGATATAAATTCAAATGGCAACTTTTTTTTGGCCGAGCAGTGTATTTTGCAATGCTGTGTTAATTTTATATATATTTTTTTATCAGTTTCTCGCTGATAAAGATGCAGCCATGGAAGATAATTCAACTGAAAGAGAGTTATCCCATCACCTGATTTTAAATAGCGTATTATAAGAGTGATAAGAGTGAATACAACCAAGCTGAAATCTGTCTGCATGTCTTTGGCAGAAATCATCATCAGCATCACAATCCTGCACCTGAGATGCCATTTTACACAACAGGATACACATTTAAATCCATGTGTTACAGACTTTTGTGCGCATTTATGGAACCACACCCAGGAAGGATGTCTCATACATACCATAATACATATAATACACAAAGACTAGCACAATAATCTCTGTGTTTAGTTACATGCTTGTAACTACATTTTGACATATAAAATTTACCTCATTCTGCAGCATTCTTGTTGATCACAGACAACCATTTTGCCCCCAGATATTTCATAAGGGCAAGAGGAGAGATCAGTCAGCAGAGCAGTAACCTCTAAAAATCAGCAAAAGAGATAAATATTTACTTTTTGAATGACTGTTGAAGAACTGATGTAGAACAGATCCTGAAACATTCTTTGTTGTAGATTTTTAGATGAATCTGCACGTTAACGCCCACGAGAGCCAAAGTGCCTTGGAAGGTTACCGTCGTCTCACAACCTTACTGGCTGTTTAGGTGATACTGTTCATAGGATTTTTTATGATTTAGTTTCTCTAAAAATTATTACCTGCCAGGAATTAGAAATAACATTTCTCTGGTGGTTATGTAGTGTTTATGAAGGAGAGTACAGTGCTGGGTGATTGTAACCTGAAAGTGTAAGAAAGGTGCTGTGGACAGAAGAGAATTAAAAAATAAAAAAGCTCAGAAGAAGGTAAAAAGTGAAAAATCACTTTATGAGAAAAAATATTAAACAAAATAGTAGCAGCATTCTTACCCCCCACTGGGTTCTGACTCATACGCCCTGCCCAGCCCTGCCCCGCGGCCTATTACCCTCCCTGTCTCTCTCTCTCTCTCTCTCTCTCTCTCTCAAATTGATCTAGCCACCCTATTTATCCAAGATCTAATCAAGGCCAGCTGGGTTTTGCTAAATTCATTAAAGACACTTGTTTGCATTACATTGCCTGATGATTTTTCACTATGGCAACTAAAAGTCTTGGAGGCCCAACAGAGCAAACAGTCGACTTTCTTTTGGCCCGGGATACTGAAATATAAAGGCATTCAGTCTCAGACATCATCTCCATTTAGGCTCAGGATTAATAATCCAACATTTATAATTGGAAGAACCCCAACATTGGAAATAGTCATTGGCTGTAATTAGTGCTGGGCAATATAAACCATATATCAACTATCGATAAGAAAATGAGAAACTTTGATAAACTGTCAATAAGGAGCATTGGTTAGCACACATCACAGAAACAAACACAATTCTAACCAATCATACAGTAGTCCTTTAAAAATAGACAGTCTACACCCAACAAACACAGCGCAGTTGATTGAGTTAGCTGAGCACATCACATTCCACTGTTTGGGTAATATCAAGGAGAGATGAGTATACTGTACACTCCAAGGAGACATTGGTGTGGGTGAAGAAAGAGACAGTTCAGCAGCCACAACATCATTTTAACACGGAGATACGGATAAATAAATGCGAAAGACGTCAGTGGTGTGGCAGCACTTTGGCAAATTAAAGTCCAACATACTGTTGCTGTGTATCGTGAATTCTGCCAAAAACCTGTGCCAACTAAAACTGGAAATACTACAAACTTACAGGGGTTGGACAATGAAACTGAAACACCTGGTTTTAGACCTCAGTTATTTGCAGTTATTTCTGCAGCCAATTCACCATCCATTCATCTTGAGGATAACAGATACAAGTCCTGCACACACAGTGGGCAGAGGAATTGCGCCATTCCTCCTACAGGACAGTGCACAGTGAGGGGTCTCATTTATAACTGTTGCATACTCAGAAAACTGGATCTGAAAGTGGCGTACGCAACTTCCCACGCAAACGTTGCGATCTATAGAAACAAACTTGGCTACAGAATGTGCGTATCCATACGGAAAATCTGATCCATGCATATGAACATTTTAGAGAAAATTGGTGACCCAGGTGGAGGTGATGAATTGAAGCCAGATTGTAGGAAAGAATGTGACTGGCACCATCACACATATATGCCTTGTGCTTGTGAGTCATAACGCGTACATTTAATTTCACCTCACAGCACACATCACACGTACACCTACTTTATCATAGGTTTTATTTGTGATAGTGAGCCATAATTATTCCAAAAGGACTTCTCAATTGTAAAATATACAAGCCAACTCAAATGTTACATCAAACTACACTAGTAATATTGTTGGCACAGCAGCTGTTGAATTGTGAATATATTAGTGAAGGACATGACTGGATTATCACGATCATTTGGACAAAGTGAGGAGCAATCAGTCAGATTGCTGGAAACGTATAAATACTGAGGACAAACACATGCGTGATGCCACTCGCTGCACTTATTTCTGTTTGTCACCACACTGCTGTGACCACCAAACAAAATGGTCTGTTTTAGTCTCCACCTCACCCACAAGCACCTCCATTTCTGTTTTAGAAATGTTTTTCTTGCAGGTCAAATTGGTTGCCATAAAAATTAAACATTTATCTGACCTAGTGTGTGTATCAGTATTCATGAGGTGTTTTGCATTGACCCTTTATGGCTTAAATGCAGGCATGCAGAGGGCGGAATATGAGGTGGATCCATGATTTACAAAGTGAACATTGCTCGCAAGTGTGCGCACGCATGGTTTTATAAATCTGACCTTTTTTATTAACACACGTCATTTTCGGCTTTTTTGCGTAAATGCACTTTCAGTATGAGTCCTGCACATGGTATCATAAATCTGACTTTTTTTTGGGTACCGTTGCTCTCAATACACCACAAAGACTTGTCCTGGTCACAGATGCACCAGCAGGATGCACACCAATAATCTGTCCTCTTTTGAACTCTGATATGTCTCCCATTACCTTGTGTGGATTGCAGTATTTTATGCACAGCTGTGTATTCCTCTGCTAATTCATCCGTCACACTCTGCTCTTGCTGCTGGAATGTGGAGTCGGAGACTGGCCACCAGGCCAATGTTTCAGTTTCATTGTCTAACTCCTTTAGTATGAAGTATGGTGATAGAGGATAACATTCAGATTGCAAGCATTTACCATCACAGGCACCAGCAACTAGGGTTTCCAGTGTCAATCTGAAGAAATACAGGACAAATCACATGCTGGATTGATTCAAAACAGGGCACAGCATTTTATTTCTCAATACTGGATGGCAGTTCAGCTCAGCTATGATTATTGTGGGACTGATTCAATGCATTGGTAATCTTTAATCAATTGTTTGATTGTTTTTATAAACTAAATTCAAACTTTTTTTTTACCTTAACTGGAACAAATATCACATTACCATGGGAACTTAATTACACACTACTGGTGGAATACAAAGAAAGTAGAATCTCATAACGTTCATTTTATTGTCATTATTAAACAGGCAGACCACGCCAGTGTGAGGTCATCAAAAGTACAGTAAAAATTCAAACACAGTGACAGAAGAGGCTTCTGATTGGGGTGTGATAGGGGTGGGTTAGCAGTGGTAAAACTTACTGAACTTGCATATTAGCAGAATGATGTGACGTTATTTTTTATTCTGTGGAAAACGAAAGATCGAGCTGCCGCCGGATTCAATACAGAACTATTAACATTGTGGGCTGGTACATTGAGACCTCAAGTGGCGAATGAGCCAATGAAATCCCTCACCCTCCACTACAGAAAACGGCTGATTGCCTAGTACCATCATCTCCATTATTTTATTAGGCATAGTTACGTCTTTTGCTCTGGAGCTGCTAACTTTGAATATGGATAAAGTTTAAATATCAATCGGCAATAAGCCTATTGGCTAAGATTGACACGTCGGATCGATGCTGATATTGTGATCTTGGACAAATATTGGTTGTTACAATATGTAACCAATATGTTGTGCATCACTAAAACTAACATTACTTTTTACTTAGCTAGCTAGACAGCTACCTCTGTCTACTTTTTTGCACTACAAAAATCGGCAAGTTCCCCAAAAGCATCACAGTGCAAAGATCATCAGCTAGCGCTTCCTTATGAATTTTAATGAATTTTCCCCCATGATCCTGCATTTTGGAAATTCATGTGACAGCACTGCTACTTTGTGTATCTACCTACAGCACATGAACGTGCGAGCGTGCAATTTGAAAACAGGAGTATCTTTATTCTTATTTAATTTTATTTTTGTTTTATAAACCTAAAATACATTCTGACATTTTAAGGGGACTTCTAAGGAAATTTTAAGCAAAAAATGGAGCCTTGAAGTAAAGAAATAATTACTTGACTATTACTGTGATAATTATCGATATCAACCAGTGTGAAAAAAAAATTATCGTGATAAAATATTTTGCCATATCCCCCAGCCCTAGGTGTAATTTAAATGAATTTAAATTTATGAATTTGGTGTAATTAGATATTTGAAAAGGCGAAATAACTGGCAACCTTTCAATGATACAAGAAATCAGTTTAAGGTTACATCAGTCAACATGGCAACCTTTCAATGATACAAGAAATCAGTTTAAGGTTACATCAGTCAACATGGCAATTTTTTAATGATTTCAAAATCTTTTTTAAAGGTTGAAATGGGCAATGAAGTCACTCCATAACAATGGCCCCCGGCAGGGCTTCTGTGAGCACAAGATTTATGTTGCTCTGTTACTGGAAACGTATCTGCAATGTCGTGCTGTAACTAGAAAACATTTGCCCAAGAATTCTACTGTCTATCACTGTTAGTCTTTTGTATGTCTTCACTTTTTACAAATTTGTCATATAAGGTTATGCATGTTAAACCACAGTAGGGTCTATACTTTCACAAAAATGTATATTCTCATCTGCTCTTGAGGTTAAAAAAAAGTCACTATTTAGCTCTATAAATTAATTAGACATTAGTTTTAACTCTATTGAGCTTTTATCCAACAGTTTCCATTATGTGCTGCGCTGTTAAACCTTTGTTCATTCTTAAGACATTAATAAATATTCATTTAAATGACTTGAAAATAATTCAGGTGAATGCAAGCTGTTAATTCAAGATACATTCCATTTTCATTTGAAAAGTGCATGATGAGTGCATGATGAGTCTTTTTTTTATATAAATCCGCAGCCTTGAGTTTTCTGTCTCATCATGGACAGAGAGTGTGTGTTGACATTTAGAATTCTTGTGTAACTGTTTTCAGAATGCATCATGGTTTGGAAGGGGCTGGACAGCAGGTCTGCATTTACCTGAAATGTGGGGATTCATCCAGTGCAGAACTCTCTGGAATTACTAGTCATGCGATCATTTCTGCTTGCAGGCTTTATGATAATATTCAAAAGAATCCTTGCTGCTGCACGGTCTTGTCTTGATTGCAGTACAGGATGTTCAGCCATTGAGTCAGAATATTCAAATTATAGTTCAATACAATACATTTTACAATTACAATCTCAACATCTTCATAGTCACTATTTTGGTTTAGTTATACTATCACACTTTATGAAAATCAATACAGAAAACTATTTCAAATGGTGTTGGTGTGTGGCTCCAGGGCTTAGGACACTATACCGCTTGTTGGAAGGTTACCGGTTCCAATCCCAGGACTGGTAGAGTGATTTCACCATTGACAGCTTGAGGCAGGGCCAGCTCTACCTGTTCATATAGCCTTAAGCAAGGCATTACCGGGAGGCCTCATACCAACTCAGTGTTTTACACAGAACTATTACTCACAGAATTAGCTCTGTGACTTCGGCGATAGTGTTTTGGCAACTGGAATATATCTCAGACTACTTTCAGTAACTCTAGTTAAATGCACCCCCCCCCCCCAGTTGTCCCTAAAAACACTATGCCTAAGGTAGGGTGTCTGCATTTCAGACCAAAAGTTTACATGCATCTAGGCTAAAGACTTCCGAAACCAGTGTTTCACAGCTCCACGTCATGTGACCATACCTTACAAGGCAATGCCGCTGAATAATACTAAAGTGTATGTAAACGTTTAACCAGCTGAAAAACTGATATAGTAAATAAAGGTTGAAATTAATTTGTCTCTTAGCTATTATTTTGACTTTGAGAAGAAAGTTATGGCAACATGACGTGTGGAGTTGAGAAACACTGAGTTTGAAAGTATTTCACCTAAAACGTTTGGCCTCTACAGTATATTGTAACAATTAACAGCACAGTAGCACATAAGCAACCAGACCAGGCAATCGGAAGATTTATGCACATCATGTTTATTCTGTTTTAATTTTTTTAGTTTCTTTTGCGACTAGGCATAGAGTGAAGCACTGATTGAAACTGTAACGAGACAATTCTGCATTTAGCCAAACACACACGTTACAGCTACATGCACTGAATTCTTCAGTACAAACCTCCTAGTGGAGTGTGACTTGACAATTATCTAATAGAAATCCGTTATCGAGAAACAACTTCATATCATACTGAGTAACAGGAATCAATAAGTGAGTAGGGTATGGGAATTCATCCTAGAGGACAATATACTGAACCGTAAATTAGTAAAAACAAATGCAATTAAGGATTTCTACCTATTAAGCGTTTCCTTTGTCCTTACATCAAATTTCATGTCACCCACTGAAGACGAGAATCACCGTTTTGCTCTGCTCTCCAGCAAAGCCTTTAATATTAGTTTGCCATTTCTGCTGTATCTTCTTACTCTTGTTATGGATACGTGAACTTCTGCATCATTCGCTGTGCAGGAAGCAAATCTGCTGGGCTTGTGCATAAATGCATTAAAGCGAAACCACAAGAATATTTCGGTTATCAGGATGATGTTACCCAATGCCTGTCATCTGTGTCTTTCTTTGACGTCAACGTTACCAGTATCACTTTGGCCAGCTTCCTGTTTAAAGGTAGCATCCGAGGTCATAACACAAGTCATTCATTTGGTCTTGTATATACATTAAAGATTAAGGAGAAATCCTGGGTGTTGTCGGCATCCAGAACAACATGGGTTGCCTGTGGAAGTTCTTGCAAGCATTTCCTCCTTTTCTCAGCACTAAAAGTCACTCACATCAGTGGCAGACTTGCTTTTGCTTCAGTTTACTGAGAAATATTACAGGGTGTTATAGTCACTCATCAAGTCAATAAATAAAGCCAACAATTCATAACCAAGACATAACCAAGAGAATGAAGCTACAGCTAAACAGTCTATTAAAATGAACAACAAATATAGTTACTATAATGGAAAAAAAAACACCTACCCATGGCTATTAAAAAATCATATATAACAAAGCGATCATCAAAAAAAAAAATAAGGCAGCATTGCAAAGAGCACGTTAACTAGTCACTTAATCAGAAACACACAGTACTTTGAATCATATGACATTCTTCATCTTTTTTTCTTGCAATTATGACAGCACCATAAATTTTTGCAACTCTTAGTCCAAAAAAATCTCCCTCTTCGGACCTCTTATAAATAAGTATTGGTTAAATAATCATATAAATAGTCAAATAAATAAATAAGTATGGCTCTCAAGAAACTGTCACATGAAAGAGACGATTGTCACCCGTCAACAGAGGTCTGACCTATGTTAGATTCTGCAAAATAATAAGAAAATTAAAAGACACCTAGAGAATTAGATCATACTTCTCATGCACAACCATCAGATGATACTTATTTAAAAAAACAGCAAACAAGGACATGTTACATCTGTGAAACAAAAAGTGTCTAAATATTTTCTTGATCCTGCTTTGACTTTGACATCTTCTACTTTGCAATAAATATCAAATGACACTTTTTAATCAGACAAGTGAACGCTTTTTAATGGCAATGAAATATGTATTTAAATATTGACTAATATCTTAAGTGTTACTTGAAAATAATGGAAAAGTACAGGCCAAGATTTTCAAATGTTACCGGCCTGCTTCATAACCAAAGGAAATTTCTCATAGCACAGTTCTGTGGGCATCCTGCATGCAACCACAAATACATCTTCTGTCATTCTGAGCAAGGCGAGTACATAAACGACAGGGCCACCAGTGCCAAGCAGTAATGCATGAGAAATTAAATGTCAGTCACTGCAACAAGAATGACGATTACCATCAAAACTTTTTAACCCGTTAACTTTTGCCATTCTGACATTTACATCAAAAGCAAACCACAGTGGTGGTAAACGTAGCTAAACTAAATTTCAAATATGCAAGAGGCAATGATCATAATCAGAATCTTAAAAAAACATTTTGGTCAATGTCAGAAAATCCAATTTTTTAGTTCTCTGTTCTTGCATTTCTATGAATCAAACAGTTATATAACTTTTGCATAACAGTTGGTAGACCTGGTGAAGGACAATTTTTGAATGTTTAGCCTTTTGGAAAATATTTAATCACTAAATATTACAATAACAAATTTAAAAAGTTTTGACTACACTCAAAGTTTTTAGTGGAAGATGATAACCAAATCGGCACATATGCATCTAACATACTCTTTAGAATGTTGTGTTCTGTGTACTCTGCAGTAAAATCTGGAATAAATTAAATATCATCAAAAATGATATTTATTTTTAGTATGAATGTACTGCCACATACATCACTGATACAACAAAGAGGAAAACACTAAGGAAAACATTAGTTGAACTGTAACCAAAATGTCATCGTATTACTGGATAGCTGGGTACATAGCGAGCGATACAGTGTTCTGTTGGTGATCAGTTCCTAATTATAGCTCCTATTGGTGTACTATCCATCCATCCATCCATCCATCCACCAACTTATCCCAGTCAGGATTATCGCGGAAGCCTGGCACCCATCCCAGACAGCACAGGGCATAAGGCTGGGGTACAGCCTTCAAAGGAAGCCAGTTCATCACAGAATGCAAAAAGATACACACACGCTCATACACTATGGGCAATTTAGAGATTCCAGTTAGCCTCACTGCATGTACTTTGAAGAAGGCGGAGTCCCAGAAAGACACCTGCACAGCAAAGGAAGCACATCTAAACTCACACACAAAGTGGAGACGGGATTCACACCCCCAATGCTAGAGGTGGGAGGTAACCGTGACACCAACCGAGACACCGTGCCACTCACACAGTACACTATGATTTAATTAATATTACCACTTTCGTATAGATTTACCACCTATGATTGGAAGCCACAACATGTGGGGAATGTTATCCACTGTGGAGAGCTGCTGGTTAAGGAACTCTACATTATGATGCCACAAATATCGCCAAGAGGCACAGTAAATCCGTGGCTTGTGAGTTACCACATGGTTACATCAGACAAGGCTTGGGATGAAAGCTTTCATACAGAAATTGTGCAACATATTGCTCCAATGTGTAAGCAGCAGTTCAACAGAGAGAGAGATTTTTAGACAGATTATTTCAGGTGACAAACATAGTCAAACAAGTTATCCTTGTTTATTTTCTTACCTACTTGTCTGTCAAGGGTTGAGCAGCCTCTACCCTGTTCTCCTAGTAAACAGTGCAAGATTAAAAGCAAGGGTAACACGCAAAGAAGCTGCGAAGCGACATTCGGGGCCAAGATTATTTCACGACAATGATCCGAAACACCTTCAGTTCGAATCTGAGCCGAGCCATGCTTCTTCGGTAGAAGATTTCCGCAGAAGGGACACGTTTGCCTAGAAACATCTAATACTCGTGGTCATTCCCCTAGCTAGCCACGTGGTTCGAGAAGCCAAAGCATTCATTCGAGCAGAAGTCCGGAGATTACGTCATTATGATACTACAGGTCTACTACAGCAGCAGTCATCTTCACCACACCCAGGCTAAGACGACTACTGTTGGCTTTCCTTTGCCATTTCTGAGAAATATGCTCAAATAGTACCTCTATTGTTAACTTAGATTACAGTTACCACTATGTCTTTATGAACATGTAATAAAATGACAAACCAGTACATTACAAAGTGCTCACGACATTGTTTCACCAAGGTGCAAAGCCAGGGCTGCTGGCTCCTGCTGGAAGTAGGACCGATCCTGAAGAAGGGAAGAAAAAACACACACACACACACACACACACACACAAACACACAAACACACACATTAGGAAGGAAACTGACTTTTCGGTTCCATAAGAAAACAAGCATAGAGTTGGCGTGCCGGGCAGACCCCGAACTCTGATAAAGCACCCTACAAACTTGTCTGCACACCTCCCTGCAGGAACGGAATGCCCGGAATGAAAATGCTTCCACTGAAAATTCAGCGCCGTGAGACACTGGGACGCTATTGTTGAAATGGAGGCATGTCAGATGTACTCGAATCACCTCAAGCGTGTCACCGAACAGCAATTCAGATTTGAACTGGCCAGCGGGCGGTGAGGCTAAGACAGAATAGGTGTGTGTAAAAAGAGACACACCTTCAGTATCATCATCATCCTCATCACCATCATCCCCACGTGCTGAGGAACCAAAGGGCTGGGACTCACTGATCGAGGGTGACTGTGTTCATCAGAGTGCTCGGGTCTCCGCCTCGATCTTGCGCTCTCCGTGGAGCCCGTCGGAGTCGGCGGGTGCCACCGTCTGGCGCACCGCTATCTCTGGGCCGCCGCCGTAGATGTTTAGGAGATACTGCCACGTTCCCTCTGAGATCTGGCCATAGTCTGCCCCTGGGGTCAGGGTGTCAGAAAGCACAGTAATGGGTCTGGCAAGCATTAAAGCTCAAGCCAGCCGGCATGCAGTAGCAGTGAGAAGCTGCCACACGCCTACCAGTACAAAGCTTTATTTATGCTATACCCTGCATTTTACAATAAAGACATCAATTAAAATTAAATTGAACATATATGGAATGATGTATTGTCCAAAAAAGTATTAAGCAAAATAAATTGTTGGGGGGGGGGCTCTGTGTGTCCCTGGGTCAGTGGGTCAGCAGAGTGATCCCACCATTGGGCCCTTGAGCAAGGCCCTTAACACACCAATGGCTCCAGGGACTGGCTGACTCTACTGTCTGCTCTACACCAGTTTCATGAGGTGGCCTCCTGGGATGCTTTTCCAGCCGTCCTGAAGGAGGTCCCACATATATGCTGAGCTCTCATTGGCCACCTTTCCTTCACTCTCTGGTCAAACTCCTCCTGAACCGTGTCTACTCTTTTTAAGTCAGGTGGCCAGGTCATGTGACGTGATGGTGTCACTCTCGTTTGTAGGCGGCTTGGCGTGTCCAACCTTTCGACTGGTACTGTACATACAAACATACATGCACAAACCAGTGGCTCTTTTGTTACATTTAAATACATTTTAATTGCCCAAGTTCAACAAGTCAGCAAGGAGCCCTCACAGATTAAATAACCGTGTGAACACCAACCCCCCCACCTCGCTGAAGTTACACAACACCCACCTTGCTTGAGCTGGATATGCCCCCCCTTCATGACGCCGATCTTGCTATTGTCGATTGGCCCCGGAGGCTCTGAGGGAAACACATTTCAGACGCCGTGAACGACCCCGCCAAAGAAAGCTATCGCCAGTCCCCCCACCCAGCTCCCTTGTTCTTATTAAAACCATTCATGTTTGTTTTTTTTTCCCCCATTCACCTTCCAACGCCCATCCTCTTCCCAAACTGACCTCACCACCCCCCACCATCCTGAAATGACTCATTTTTCATTAGTTCTCATCTACTTTGTAGTAGAATTATATTATACTTCACACTTGTTTTCTACTGGACATCATGTATTTTCCTACCTTTATATTCCAATATTCCGGATACCTCTGTTCCTGTTAATGTCCTTATAATTACTGTTTGTATGCTGCCCAGCTTGCACTGCTCCACACTATTAAATTCCTTTATTCTATTGTTTTATTTCTACTTATCTATTTTTCTTAATTTATGATCTTTGTTCTTCTGTGATATCTGCCAAAACATATTCCTACTGCATGCAATAGTACCTGGCCAATAAAGTGAATTCTGACTTTGATGTAATGGTTGGATGTTGGACACAACTGATTTTTTTGTAATACTGCTGGACAACAAAAATTCACCCCTGGGGGGAATCAATACATTTCTACCTCGTCTTATTTTATCTTGTGATGATATTGTCTTAACACTGTTCCAAACCCTGTCACCCTAAAGAGAGAAAATGGGCAAGAGACTTGAATGTTGGAGTCTAGCAGCAGGACGATATGGGCAGACGGCGAAGGATAGCGTTCAGTGCCACGTACCGTTGTCCCTACCCTTCACGAAGCTCTCCCATTCCCGAAACCACTGCATGCTAATGCAGAGGATGACACTGGGAGCCTCCTCCGCTTGGAATTCTTTATTGAGCTATGGATGGAAGGAAGGAAAAAGAAAGAATGAAAGACAGACAAGAATGAAAGTTAGAATGCCACACGATGACGATGATGAAACTGACTTCAACAAACGTCAATTACTCATTTAAAAAAAAAAAAAAAAAAATGTAATTAACCAAACTGGTTTTTAAAACATGCCCTAAAGCTGCCTGCACGTCCCACCCACTGTGCACGAGTGCGTCACCTTGATGAACGTGTCGATCTCCGTCTTCCGCCTCTTGACCAGAGCTTCGATCTCCACCTGGCAGATGGCACACACGTAGAGATGATTGACGGCCGGACCCCCTCCGAACCTGGGGAGAGAGGAGGCCCCTCCATGACCCTCCATAAAGGGATGCTGACTGAGCTGATTCATATGCACAATTAAAACACGGCAAGTGAAATAATCAATCAAGTGTAGAGTAGAACATTCTTTGTTCTGCTTGGTAATATGAAAATCTTCTCAGGCACAAGGCATGTTTACTTTTTTAAAACAATGACACAGATGGGCATAGGAGCTACAGGAGCTAGGCGGAGGGGCGTGCACCTCCCAATATTTAATTTGGCTTCATTCATCCCCCCAATAAATAGACCTTTGTATTTAAAAATATTCATTTGTGCCGGTTGTGCAAACTCTCTTATGCACTTGCACACATAGGCCATTAAACATACTGAGGATATACATATTCATTTCCTTCTACTCAACCCATCCTGTGTTAAAAATACTTTACCACACCTACTAGAATAAGCAGTGAAAATAAGTTTACATGGTGTGCAATCTACAGGGTTTGATCTAAAGCAGCGATCATCGGTGACACGGCAGTCGGCCCAGATAAGTGAGGCTGATGGTCATGAAGATCAGCGGGAGAGAGTAAGATAATAATGATGATTAACATTAACTGATGAGCTTCAGCCAGCATCGAAGTACCTGTTGTAGAGATATTCCCAAACGTTCTGGGGCAGAATGACTACTAGGTCGTCGATGTAGTGGTACTTATTGGGGGGAATTCCTGTTTGAAGAAAGACAAAAGAAGAGGTGATGTAGTAGGTTATAGGCTGAAGTGAAACCTTGAGTATTGGTGGTCAAACCAACTACCACACTCGTATGGCTGGGGGGGGTGGCGCAGGCAGGCACACAGGAAGACAGGAGGCTGGGAGTGTGCAGGAGCCAGCGGCCGGGGACGCCTCTCACCTCCGTGCTGACACAGGAACGTGTGGTTGGTGATGGGGCCGGGCTCAGCAAAGGTGTTAAACTTGTTGAGCCACTCCCTGGAGATGTAGAACTGGAGCAGACTGGGCTCCTTCATGCTGGCCAGGGCCACCACCTTCTGCCTCTCCCTCACCGACTCCTCGCTGCTCTTCCTGGTACACAGGCAGGAGTCGGAGCTCACGTTATCAGCCACCACACCTGCGCATGCTAGCGGCATGTCTTGGCAGTCAGGGGCCAGTTTGCCGTTTCTGGGACCCACTCAAACAGTCACTTCACTTGTTTCGAAACCTAAATAAATAGCCAGCGAGTAGAGTCAGAAGATGGCAGTTGTCGAGTTGGTTAGCAAAACGTGCTGCTTCAAGGAATGTGAGCATTTAGTGTAGTGACTGTTTGTAGAGGGGCCGGTGTGGTGTGAGTGTTGGTAAGCGAGGCCATGTCGGTATACTGGTGCCACGATCAAAGAGCCGATAAAACAAAAAATAAAAAAACAAGAAAAAAAACAGAAGATTTAAATGCATAAATAAAAGCACAAATCACAGTCAGTAAACCGGCATGTACAAATATATGCAATGTGCACAAATGTTCAGCTACATGTGCAAGTTTCAATACTTCTCTGAATCAAATTCCCAAACACAGTCGACCCTGTGCACAGTGACTTTCCCCATCACAGTCTGGATATATTGCAGGGTCAACATAAGAAATGAAATGGGAAATGTTTTGGGGGAGTTTTTGGGAGTTTTGTGAAACACAACACACAGAACGTGCAGCAGCTCCTAAAGGCATAAATCAACGTTGGCTCCTTGTCTGCAGGATGCCAGGTGTGTTGACAGCAGCCTCTGGTGTCGTATCTCACAGTGATCTTTTTATCGCATGTTTCTCATATCTTTCCGCTTCTTTCCGCTCACCAAGGGAACCAAAACATTGTACGTGGTTTTACAGCTGGTGAGGGGCCTGGGTACCTCTTCCCCGCCATGTGAAAGGGTCCACAGTAAATAAAAATCAGTATCATTACACATTAAGTCCAGATGCACCCATTTATGCACAACCACCTGCATGAATCGAACCTTCACCCATCTCCGTATCGGTACCATTTAAGGGCTTTTAAAGAAGGAATCTCACAGAAAATCATGTCATTAGGAAGGCATGCAAAAGAGACAACTGTTAAAAAGCTAGCTTCTTGTGCAAGAGATATTTCACATAGTCTGTATTTGCATGACACAACCCACACACATTCACACAGAAACACCTCTGTTTATTCGCTTGCTTTCAGTAGAGACGCCCCCTACCTGTAGAAGAGAACGTAGGCCTCTGCATTCTGCACCACCGTCTCATGGACCTCAGTCACATACTGGTCGTCAAACTCATACCACTGTCCATTAATAACATTCTGGCAGTAGGCAATGTAATGTCCACCTGGGTAGATAAAAAAGAAAGAAACAGCAGAATTCAGTGTAGCACCAGGAAATCCTGCCCCCTGGTGTTAGACTTGTGTACTTTATGACATTTTCATCATGATATTTGTGTCCAACACTCTCAAGCATCGCTGCCCACAATCACTTTGTCCATCCATTTGTCTTCTAGCTGCTATTCGTGGTGAGTGCCGTGGCGAGTGAAGCCTGGAGCCTATTCCAAGCAACAAAAAGGCACAATCACAAACTGCCAGCACCTCCCCGAACTGCATGTCACTGGACTGCAGGAGCAAACTGGAGTATCAAGAGTTACACCCAACATAAGAATTAGGGAGAAACTAGGATTCAAACCCTCAGCTCTAGACGTGTGAAGCGACAGTGCTGTCCACTCAGCCACCGTGCTACTGTCATATGTATTAAACACATCGGGAACACTTTAGGTGACAGGACACAAATGGTATTATGCAATTACTTATGTATTCATTAACCACAAACTAAGTCTTAGTTACACACTGATCTAATGTTATTTAATCATTAATGAATTGTGATGCATGCTTTATCTCAAGCAATCACTATATTTGTTACATCTATAAATTCTATGAACCTTTGTGAATCACTGAAGGATCTACTGAAGGAAAAAGTCATGAATAACACAAGTGAAATACTGATCTCATGTTTGTTCATCATTAATAAATCGTGGCACATTTTTTATCTCAAGTAGCAACTATGTTTGTTCATGATTTGTACTTTAGTAGTAACTGAGTTATTGCTAAGTATTTGTGCGCCCTCAGGTAATGTGTTACCGATACATCTCATGTGCACACTATTTCATTTTGCAAATTGCTTGGTGCCATACATGAGTCGGCCAGCTAGTACTAGCCAATCACAGGTGCACCGGCCAGCCAAGATGCGCTGACAAATCGGCATCTCCCCGTTAGCTGTTAGACACCACATCACAATCAGCGAGTCGTGCTGATTGGTCCGATCTGGTAGGAGCTGCAAATTTATAATAAAAACAAACAAGCCTTACTTCCTGCAGTGCCATGATGACAAATCACCGAGAGCAGGTCGTAGGTCGTGATCTGTGAGGGGCTATCTTTGGCCAAGAACGGCCGGAGGTCCAGCCCCTCCAGCGGGAAGGACACGTGGCTATTGATCTTGAAGGAATACATGACTTCGTGCCGAAAGCGCTTCAGATGTATACATAAAATCTGAAAGATTCAGCAGAAACACTGCCAGTAAACATGTGCTAACTATCAAAAGCCAACATCAGTTTGCATGACAGCGAGTTCTTCCTCTATGAACCAGAAATAAGAGAAGATCTTCAGAGTGGAAAGGAAACGCTTACTTCAGGAAGGCGCAGCACCTTGCAGTATTTAACCCCATTTCTCAGTCTGGAGGGTCAAATAAGAAATAATCAGAAAGCCTTGCTCATCAAAACGCTGAAACATATCGCCATATATGGAAGGCTGAGACCTTCCGTTGAATACAGTACCTCTTTCTACCATAAGAGGGCAATAGTGATATATATATTTTTATTTCTACTTACTTTTTACATCGTTCACAGCTGTACATGTTGTCACCTACGACAAACAGACATTAGTGTGGCTATGCAGGTTGTGTTCACATATTTCAGCTCAGCATTCTTATGCTGCTGCAGAATTTGTAAAAATACCAGGAGTTCGTTGCTCACCTTTCAGCTCGTCAGCAGCGAAGAAGGCAGCAAGGCAGTCCTCCAGAGTGACCAGAGGCCCCCAGAACCAGCTAGGGATGCAGGACACTACAAACCTGAACACACAATGACGGGTACAGGGTCGGAGAACCGGCCACCAGGTACCACCCCGCAGACCTGACCATGCCTGGAGGCCCAGCTCACCTGCGGATGGAGTCCATGATGTAGGAGATCCAGCCCTGCGAGGCGTAGCTCTCCGTACAGGCGCCGGCCTTGGTGGGTAGGTTCTGGTGGATGGAGGAATGGAGCCTGGCCAGGTCTTCTTTCCCCGGGATGGGCAGAGACAGGTCCTGGAACATCTCCACAGTGGTGGACACCTGGGGAGAGGAAGGCGGGGGAGATGGAACAAGAGACAGATGGAGTGGAGCCACTGGCTGCACAGCAGAGCGCGGAGCAGAGCGCGGAGCAGAGCGCGGAGCAGAGTGCACACTGGCGCACACTGGCGCACACTGGCGCACACTGGCGCACACTGACCCTGTCGCAGGTGAGACACTGCACCAGGCTGAGGATGGAGCCGTCGAAGATGTCAGAGATCACACTGCGATACCGCGGCTGCTTCTTTTTTTTGGCACCAGGCAAAATCTGGGCTGTGGGGGGAAAATAAACACCACTGATGAAACTGGGCAGGGATGTGAACAGAGCAGGTGGACGACGGGGAGGTCAGGTCCGAACCTTTCTTGAGCGAGAAGCATGCACCTGCGGACCGGAGCGGGCTGGAGCGAGGGGGGCTGCTGGACAGCTTGGGGTGCAGGTCTGGGGGGCTGTGGGTAGGGCTGCAAGGGCGCGAGGCGCTGCAGTGCATCGAGGTCTCATTGTCAGGCTCTGCAACAGAAACAGTCACAAGAGCCCTGAAGCTCCGAAAGATGATGCTGCATCCTGAAGACACAACGTCCAAATGGAGACAGGAGCCAGAGGGAAGACTGGAGACTCATCAACTGGAGACTGAACACCATCAACGTTTACAGCAGCGATGCCCAAAATTACAGACGGCCAGGTTACTTTCAGAACTGCTTAACTGAGGGAGGCAACTTCTCAGATTGAATACACACATCCCCTCACAAATCACAGCGGTTAGGGTCAGATGGGTGACCCTATCTATGGGACTATGGGAGGAAACCAGGACACAGGGAAATTCACATAAACACGGAGAGGACATTTACACACACGGTTGGATTCAAAACCATTTTCTGAAGTGAGGCAACACTACTATGTCAATATTACCTTATCCATAACAATATCATCACTTCTTTTGTAAATAAATATTAATCACTCTAGTTAAACACTCTTAAACCACATAATCCATCCATCCATCCAGCATGCCTACCACATCCGAACAAACCTCTGGCTACAACACCCTAGACTCCAGCTCCTTCTGGGTGATTTCCAGGCTGCCCAAGTGCAATGTGAATACAGACTTGGATAGATGGACTGCTATGAGTTCATCTGGGCTTCCCTGCATCACCCAGCTCCAATATGATGCTTTTGCATCAGCTTTAGCAGAACTGCAACATCACTGTACTATAGTGTTTCTCAGTCCAGTCTTCAGGGACCTCCATACAGGCCACACGCCTGTACCTGACAATCGAGAAGCAACCGAACCATGAGGAACACCTAGTGCCTAGTGCAGATGTGCTGGGAGATGGGAGCGAGCAAAGATGTGGGCTGTCAGGGGTCTCGAGGACTGGATTGGAATGCACTTCTGCAGTGTGTAACATTAATGACCAGTGCAAAGTCCATGCCCTGTAAGAGAATGGTGTTGAAGCATCTCTTCCGGTTCCTCTGGTCACCTACCGGGGGCGCTCTGTGCGTGGTTCAGGCCGGCATTAGCTGGCACATCTTCCTCCGCCGCCTGGGCGTGGGTGGCGTCCTCAGCTGTGGTGTCCACATCGGCGTCCTCGTCCATCTCCCGCGAGCCGCTGTGGAGCGGCGAGCCGGACACCCGGCGCTCCTTCAACCTCTCCTTCTCAGAAATGCTCCCCCCAGGCCCCCCGCGGCCCGCGCACTCATCTTGGATGAGCAGCTCGGCCTCGCCAGGGCCCCTGGCCTCCAGAACCTCGCCTCGGTCGCTGCTGGAGCCCGAGTCGCAGGACAGGAACTCGTCCTCAGAGGGACTGCGGTCCCCATCCCGCCGCTCGTCCCCGTCGCCACTATCCCCGGCCCCAAACTCCATCAGGGGCTCCTTCAGCTCCTCGTGCAGCTGGTCCATCAAGCAGCGCAGAAACTCCTGGGTGTCCTGCAGTGCAAAGTGCGACCATCAGAGGGCAGCAAAGTAGAACACACAGGCTCCTCAGCTTACCGCGGGTTACGCCCATGAACCTGTTGTAAACTAAAAATATGGTAAGATGAATATGATATGACCAGAGCTGTCAGGATTACTCAACAACTCGATTATTAAAAAGCATCCATTTAATTTTTTCTTCTCAATTACTTGGAACTTAAAATATCACCAAAGAACAACTACAGTGCACATACATCTTAAAACAAGATGGGTTTGATGGACTCACCGAGTAATGCAAGGATAGGCATAAATATGCGCCATTTAGCCCTCTCGGATAATAATGAGTATTATTATCATTTTTGCATGTTCATGAAATGCCATGTTGATACTAACATTGCCAATCATGAAAGCTCATCAGGGTGGCATAGTGCTGCACAGAGTAGCATGTTTTTTACAGACTGCCAAAAACTAAATAAGTTTCGCACATATGGCTGAAACCCGATGAAATAGGTCTGAATCGGCACCGATACCGATCCGAATATTGGATTGGTGCATTTCTACTAAAAACAACATTAAATTTAATTTTAGTGCCTCCATATTTGTGACTGAGTGTACACCAATTACATTCTATATTATATTATCGATTACTCGATTACTTGTCTGATTAAATCGGTACATTACCCGATTATTCATATAATGGACAGTGACAGCCCTAGATATGATATGACACACTTTGGCATTTAGTAGACATAATGGACATTATGTAATGTGTTGTTAAACTCTGTGTAAGATTGTTACGCTGCCGATGGCTACAAAGACTGCAAGCGTTGCTGTGTGGATGCTGCCATTAGCCGGCATCAGTAGAAAGTATCCTGCGTCACATTTCTAGCCTGGGAACTGATTCAATGTCAAAACTCAATGCTTGATGACCACTGAATGCGCATCGCTATCACACCATCATAACATCGAAATATCGTAAATCAAACCCTAGCAAAGAGAGGAGCATCTGTATATCATCATAAGCTCTTATTAGATGAGAGAGCAACAAGTCGTGCATATGAGGTCACCTGCAAACATCGCACAGAGCAACCAACACTACCGGCAAATCGCCCTTCAGATGATTAACAGGCTTCAAGGAGATTATACTGTTTTTATATGGTAATGATTTTTAGTCGATCGTAAAACATTCAATCAAAACATTCTTCTGCTGCATTACATTGCATTTGTCACATTTCATTTCTTCCAAAGTAATCAAGCGCGATTCCATGGGGAGATGTAACAGGCCTCGGATGAAACGGCGACAGGATCGCCCCCTGCTGGAGGTGCTCCCTACCTGCTGAGCGTAGCCTCGGAACATGGGGTTTACCAGCTTGATGCCATGGGACAGGCTGGTGGGGACCACGTAACTTGGCCTGTTGGGAGTCAGAGAGACACGCAGTTACATTTCACCCTGACTTTGTTCATTTGGAAAGATTTGCTTGTGTTCTGAAATTATGGGATTTTCATGAATCGACTAAACAGTTCAATGGTCACTCACGCCGCTGCATGTTTTTAAAAATAACAGTTTTGTTAAATGCTGTTTTTTTGGTGCCCAGTGATATATAGACATTAAAACTAACAGCCAGGGTGACAGTAAGCCGACAACACGTGGGAGATCAATGTGTGGGCTTTAGTCAGAAAATTAATAACTGAAAATCAAAAATTAAATACCTTTTCTTGTGCCACAGCTCAGAGATGAGTTTTTGGTAGCTTTTACACAAGGCAGGTTTCTTGTCGGTCCGGACCAGACCACCGCATTCCAGGAAAAACTGGGTGAGTGGTGGACTTTGCAGGGATGGAGAAAAACACAACATCTTCATGAGCCACTAATCAAACCTTCCCATAATACCCTGCGGCCCACTTCAGCATGTTGTCCTCAAATGACCACGGATCTAAATAGCCAGACTGAAGAGCCTAGCTAGGGACAGGGACAGAGGCCAGCTTACCAATTGGAGAGAGCCTGCAGAGCGGCATTCATGTAGCACGAGTTGCCGATGTTCTTCATGCCAGTGAGCCCTTTGCCAGAAAGAAATATGGATAAACTGACAGCCCAATTACATTAATATTTATTTATTTAGCAATTACTTTAGTTCACAGCGTTGTATTGGGGTCAGCCAATACAAAGTGATGCGTTTGGGTCAGCCACCACCCCGGGAGCAACTGGGATTAAGGGCCTTGTACAAGAGCCCAACTCTGCCAGATATGGGATTTAAACTCACAACCATTTGGACATGAGCACAGATCGCTAATCCAGTGAGCTAATCCGCTAGTTGTTCTGCCCCAGACATCATGGCCGGTATGCAGCTGCCCATTACAGTGGCACCAGCAGGCAGGACTGAGGACGTTTTACCTCGAGGTTTTAGCTCATCTTCCTCTGACTCAGACTCTTCCTCGTCAGCCACGGCTATGGGCACAGCTTTTAGTGGGTGGCTTCCTGTCTGCAGCACAGAATCCTGGGAAATTCAAAAGGTGATAAAAAGAAAAAAAAAAAAGAAATGTGTAGCTCTGTCCGAAGCAGCCCGCCCACCACAGATCACAGTATTTTATAATAATCTCATCCTGTGACTCTACAGAGCAAAGTGTAATATGATATAAATTATATATAATAAAGTCATGCAGAGTAATGACTGTTCCAGAACCAATACTGAAATAACAGAGAGTAGGAATGCCGCAGGTGGCAAAGCCAAAAATGCAGCACTGGTGTGACGGAGACTCTGCCAATGTTGGGTGAGGTCATACCTGCTCCAGAGGTTTGCAGGGGTGGCTGCCAGGTGCTGGTAAAACAGGCCTCTGCTCCAAGAAGACCTCCCTCTCGCAGACATAGCACCAGATCCGGAAGGTGGTCAGGTTGACCGTCAGATTGTGCTTTTTCGCCTAAACGACACAAGAACACCGGCAGCATTCAATGTAAAGCAGTGAAAATCACATACATGAACACATCAAATATTTTCTGGGACCGATCTCTTTAAATAAGATAAGAGGAACCCTGTTGATCAAAGGGGGAAATTCCTGTGCATTGAGCAGCAAGGTACGTATGTAATTTTCAGATAAACAAACATAACTGCAAAATAAGACAAAGGGCAACGACAGCACACGTAGTGCAGACAAAGTACACAGTACTTCCTACGAAACATCCTAAAAAGGATATTAAGGAAATAAACAAACATAAATGAAAATAAGTTAATGTGTAGTGTATGTACAATCAAAAAAAAAAAAAAAAAAAAGATCGTACGGGACTTTTTCCAACCACTAAATCTGGAAAGACCTTCACCTGTGATGAAATCAAAAAAACATAGCATAAATTTGAAAAAAATAGATAGGTGTATCTCAAGTTAATTAAGGAAAAAAATCGCAGTACAAAGGGCAGGTAGTGGCAGACTTACCTGTGCATGTAAGGTGCTATGATCTGAATAGGACTCCCCACAGCCAACATACGCACAGTCCTTCTAAATGGAAACAGGGGCGCACACTGCTAAGTATCACGCCGTGACCGCACTGTGTTAATACTGTATTCATCCTTTCCTTACTGATTTAAAAATGCACACGACAATAATAAGGGCAATGCTGATGGATGCAGGAGAAAGAGAATTAGCATTTAAATATCTGTGTTTTCTTCATGAAATATTTATGGGTAATTAATGCATTCAGGAAAAACTTAGATTAACTGAAAGAAACAGATTCCAGATAATGCAGAAAAGCTGCCCATCCTTACCTGCAGACAAGCCCAAAGGTTGGGGCCCACAGCACCGCATGACTGACACGTGCCCTTTAGCGCAACACAGACAAGCAAAGACCACAATTACCTCACAAAATCATTCAAAACAATATACGGTGTGTTTTTTTCATACGTTAAGCTGGCTTTTCATTTGTATTGGAAACTTCATTAAGGTAAGATATTTATTTGCCATTTGAACAAGGTGCATAGGACTTATTTGGTTTTCTTTGGTTTGACTTTGCACTCAATGTGATTTGATTACTCTACCTGCCCTGGGATTCAAACCTATGCCTTTTTGGACAGGGGCATTAAAGCATATGAGCGACACACCTCTAGAACTAGTGCTGCATAAACCCTATACACATTTTAAAAACATACTCAGTATTTCCATTGTCGTATATTTCACATTTTGCTGCATCTTTTATTGTTCATATTAACAACAAAGCATTAAAAATACATCTGTAAAATGTTGATTATCTACAGCACATTACTGTGAAGAAGGCAATTAAAACAATAATTGTACATTTAAAAATGTAATAACTGTACATTAAGAAATTAAAACACCCATACCTTTGATTTCTGTAGAAGTTCCTCCTTGGTAACCTCTCCAATGGAGTCTAGATGAGGGCAAAGCTCTGCCTGGTTTGTCATCTTTCTAGCATTTGTTTTACCTGCAGATTAAAAATATCATAGTAATAAAATATAAGAATTGCCATGTACATTTCTGTATATGCAATCTTACAAAATCATACAAGCACTTATGTGACATTTTGGAGAAATTAACCTCAAGTTCATAGATAAACGTTAATTCATAGAGGTTCTCATAATTTAAATATTCTAAAATAAATACATAATCACCACTCTCATTTGTCCTATTTTGAACAAAGTACATATAGAAGTCTTTGGGATGCATATGCTGTACGCTTGCCAAGACCTGTCATGTTGATCTTTACTACGGAAGCCAAAGAAAATGCTGTTTCATGAAAGCATAACACCGCAGAAAGACTACACTGAACACGCCATCTCATACGGAAAAGTATGGGAAATGTATTCCCACCCTTGGTTTACATGTCGTTCCTGAGACTAATCTCGGTTATCATAAAAAGATTACAGTACGAGCAAAGAGCAATGTCGGCGCCAGAGATGCAACAACACACGTAACATTTGGTCGCACAAAATATCACAACGTAGCGTTTACTTAGTCCACATAGGAACTCATACAAATAACCCGCATCACTATGTTGTGCAACGTCATACTTAGAAATAACTTTTAGCCACCTTACTGTTCAGCAACAGAATTATGATAATACCTGTTAACTCCATCTGTCAATATTCAGATACAGTCAAATGACAGCAATTGCAGTCACGACACACCTTGATTAAACGATACGTCGTTACTCTTGGATTTTACCCAGCCTGCATTGAATAAGATAACGCATTCTGCAGATAAACAGGCCCCGTTTTTACTTCTTAACAACTGGGTAGGTGCATTCGCCAGTAAACGGGGATGACACTGCACGCACGTATGCACAGCAAATCCTCAATTCAGAGACGTATTCACCTCCTCCACATAATGCAAAGTCGGTGTTCGGAGATATTCATTTTGACGGGCAGAAATGAGGAAGAGGGACCCAGTTGATGCCACGGAGAGATCCCAGCCCCTGTCCAATTATTTACAACACGGTTTGCGTCAGCTTTGTTGTGTTTCCGGTCCCCGAATAGTCAGTTAGCTGCATTCAGACAGCGGAGCGGCTTCGATTTTGTGATCGTGATACACGATACATCTACGTGAATTATAAAGAAACAAAGATAATTAGAAACGAGGATGGTATTCATATCATGGATAATGATGCTTGCAAGACACTAGTAAATATGATTATGGCCTGCAGACATGTGAACGTTATACTTTAAACAGACATGGAATCCCGTAGCATTTGCTACATCTTCCAAACAAAATGTAATAAGCATGATTTCAGAAAGCTAAAATTTGTAAGAAAATGACACAAGCCAGAAAACAGACAACGGATACGTGAGACAAAACGATTTTATTTGCGGTCCCATACGCATTACAGCACGTCATGTCCGGTTTATGAATAATTCTCAATAGGAACTTCCGCTTAATATACTGAGTATGCGTTGTTGCTGAATCACGTGACAAAGCATCGTCGAGCTAAAACCCCACAAACTATAGATTGTGAAGGAGTTGAGCTTTAAATCCGGAATTGTACCGTAATAATGCCGCCTTCAAAGAATTTCAGGAGAAGGAAAGCCGACTCGGATGACGAGGAGGATGAGGAGATAACTGCCGAAGTCAGGTGGGTAGTTAGCTATCTCGTTAGTTACATGGTTTCTCATAGTTTACTGGATCGTGTTAAAATGTCCGATGGATATACAGTATTTATGTAATTGTGCATTGCTAACTAATTAACCACATTCGGCAAGTGGAAACCAAAATTATTTTGAGGTTAAACGCGAATGTAAACAATGCCACGCTTCTGTTGTATTTCAGGAAGCTATGTTTGCTTCAGGAATGGCTTTTGCCTTATGCGTTGTAATTACATCTTCTCATTTGTATTCCGTATTTCACACAGGTCTAAAGTGGATGAGGTCAAAGAAATTCAGAGTTTACGTAAGAGACAAAGCGGCGTGAGGTAATTTTGTTAAATAAAATAAATGTAGTTAACTCAGCCACCAGCGGAAGAGAAACCCTCGTAAACCTCTGCATATCCATGAACTAATTTAGTTCTAACCTGGTTTATGTATACCAAAAAATAATTTGCTTTTTTATCAGGATAAAGTCTGTGAAAAATGGCAAGAGCTGAGGTCTGGTCCTTGATATAGAAACTGTAATCAGAGTTAATCCTTATATTTCACACCTCAGGAAAATGGTTCTAAGGAAACCTTGCATGTCATATTACGTTTTTTTTTTTGTTACATGTCATAATTTGACAAATTTCTAATTCTTTATTTCAGTATAGTATCATTGCTGGTTGGTGAGAAACTGCCACCAGAAGCTGAGATTGAGGTGGGTTTTGCACAGCTTATTAAAACCCTATCTTGTCCCTTTGCACTACTTATTCTGGTGAAGGTCACGGTGCTTTTTAAACCAGTTTTATGTAAAGCTGCCCAAAAGTTAAACAGATATGCCATAATATGGTGTATCACTAGAAATGATAAATCTGTTATTCCATTTGGCCGTATCCTGTGACCCTGACAAAGATACTAAGAAAGGGCCATCTGACTAACAGACAACTCACACTTATGAATGGGCTGCCATAAAGCCTGATATGTTAAAAATTAAATTAAAAGTTAAATAAAAGAATTAAAGTTGAATACAATGGTTCATAATAACAAATACGTGCTATTTTGTGATGCTCGTGGAAACATTACCCAGCTTCAGCGGTTTGTCGGCTCTAGGTACAGTACAGTGCCAGATATACTTTTAGTATTACTGTATTTTTATTATTGTGTACTGTATTATTATTATTATTATTACAATTGTTCACACTTGCCTACAAACCTGATGACTGTCTCTATAAACAAACAAAAAAAAAACCACATAAAAAAATAGTTTGTTCTTTCTTTTGTTTTTCCAGGATGATCCTTTTAAGCTGAAGACGGGAGGTGTTGTTGATATGAAAAAGGTTAAAGACCGAAACAGAGACATGTAAGAATGGAAATTTCCAAATGGGAACAAACAATATTTTCAATGGATAATTATATTCAGGTAGTGTCACTTGCATTGTATTATTTGTTAGGGGAGCTTAAATGATGTTTGTTTGTGATTGATTCTTCAGGACCCAGGATGAAACTGATCTTAATCTGGGAACGTCTTTTTCTGCCGAGACCAATCGAAGAGATGAAGACGCTGATATGTATGTCTTTAATTTTGTGGCTTGTACCCCCTTTAAACTTGGAGGAAACTTTATATTTTTTAAAATGATATTTAACCACAGTGTAACACATTTTTTTTATACTCCATCATTATCTGTATGATTTGAGACTGTTTGGTTCGAATTTTATGTATATTTCTGCATAAAAGTTAAAGCTAATTATTTTGCTAATATAATTCTGAAGGAAATATTTATTCAGATTTATCTTATTACTGCAGTTGCTGGTAACAATTTTGTTGTGACTGAAACAGAGTGCAAGAATGGAGATTTTAAACTTTGATTCAAATCTCTAACATGGTAAAATCTGCATATCATCCTGTCTCGAATTGATTTATTCAACATGCTAATTATATTAGGAAGGTTACGACTGCAGTTATTGTGCTAAAATTATTTCAGCAATTCTAAGACACAGCATGGTAATTTCTTGTTTTCTGCAGATTCTTACTCTGCCATTATGTTTTTCTGCCAGGATGAAATACATCGAGACGGAGCTAAAGAAAAAGAAAGGGATGATAGAAACAGAGGAGCAAAAAGTCAAAGCCAAGAATGCAGAAGACCTGCTTTACGAGCTGCCAGAGAGCATCCGCGTGGCCTCTGCCAAGAAGACGGAGGAGATGCTCTCCAACCAGATGCTGAGCGGAATCCCAGAGGTGGACTTGGGCATAGAGTGAGTTTGATGAAACGTAAAGCGCCACATTCAGCATGTTTATGTTTATGTAGACGTTACGGTGACTGGAAATGAGCTCATATTGAATCATTGTGTAATAGTTGACAGCTTATTTCTTTTAACCCTTTTAAGCGCCAAGATAAAAAACATCATCTACACAGAGGAAGCTAAAGCTAGGCTCATAGCCGAACAGAGGAACAAAAAGAAAGACAGCGGCACCTCTTTCGTGCCCACCAACATCGCAGTCAATTACGTCCAGCACAACCGCTGTAAGTAAGAGTCACACAGAGTAATGAGTGAAATGTTGTATTGCGGCCGTGTCGTGTGAATTTATGCTAGTTGATTTGTGCACACTTATCCATGGGCTCACTTTACACCCGTGATCGTAGTTTACCATGAGGACGTTAATGCACCAGCGAGACGACATCGCGAGGAGCCCAAGGCGCGGCCTCTCCGTGTGGGAGACACTGAAAAGCCTGAAGCAGAGAGTAAGTCCCGCATGACCCGCGAGCACCTGGCAGTTGTGCTGTGCCTCTGTAGCCGGCCGGGGGTCATGCTGAGAATGACATGGTGCTTGATTCCCACAGAGACACCCCCGAACCGAAAGAGGCCAGCCAATGAAAAGGCTACTGATGATTACCACTACGAAAAGTTTAAGAAGATGAATCGCAGATATTAAAAGCAGATTTATATCCCAGTTTTATTATCCTCTTTTTGTTGTCCAGTTTTCATCTGTTTTGTTTGTATTTATTTACCTGTATTTGATTTCATTTGATTTAAAAAAAAAAAATTAAAAATTCCAGTTTGAGGAAATGTTTTTTGTTTGTTTTGTTAGTTAAGATAGGGCTGTTAATGGCAAATGTTAAATTCTGCAAAATCAGGTGATGGATGTTTTTAGACAGCAAGAGACTAAACATTTGTGATGCTGTTTATTTTAAGCTGTTGTCATACAGTCATAAGAAACTCATTAACATAAAAGATTCATGGGATGGTTCAAATAAGAGCTACTGCTTATGGTGACAATGACTGAATACATTATAAATGTGGGATGGATCCTCTTGTAAGAGGAATAGCATAGAACTGTATCAAACCTCGTGAACCTTGTCGCTGCCTTGCTATAATGTCCAAGATCCCAGTCACCTCCTTTCACATATTGCTGTTACATCTAAAAAAATCACAAATTGTATCTTGTGAAAATATCATGCATACTCTGATAATGTTAATTTTTCCAATAGAAAACAAGTTTATTTTAGCCACAGCTCTGACCAGGATAGGTGAATGGTTGGGTCATTGAATATATTTCTAAAAGGCATTCTATTGCATTCTGTTCTGTTCTCTAAGATGCAGTGTATTGTTATACTATTACCTAGTGTAAAATACCTCAGTCTTTGCTTTTTATGTTGAGTCTATCAGGTAAAAACTGTATCTCATATATGATCATCTACACTTTAAACCAAGCATTAATCATATGCTAAGAATATGCTGTCTAATGTCTGCAGAGTACACATTTATACGAAGAGAAAGCCATTCTAGGTTATGGAGACAAGTAGCACAGAACGTGTAATAGAGTATTGGTTATTACAATATGTTATATACAGTATGTGTAAATATATCATTTAGTTTACCTTTAAAAAAATCCCCTGTATGCTTAGGAATCTGTTTAATTTATGAAAGTCTATAGGAAATCCTGGTAAGTACCCTTCTTCAAGCATCATTTCAGTGTTAATTTACCTTAAGTTAATTTACATTTACTAAGCTAAACTTAAAGGCTAGCTTTGCATTGCTCAGAAAGTCCTAAAAGAATTTACAAATATTAGTGAGATTGAAAAGAACATTCTGAGCCATGTGTTTTGTAAGATACTTATTTTGTATTTCTAAAAACACTGCTATTAGAGACAACCATTTCCTTAATAGTATTTTTTTCAGTTATTGCATTTTTTTTACATTGATTGTGCCCCTGTTGATTCACTGTCGCCCTGACAACACACTCATTATGAGTCTTGTAGTAACTCTTGATTGCCATAGTCATGAATAATTTCTTTCCAGAAACTTTATTGAAGTTTATTTTTCCTTGTGCCATTATTGATTTGCCGGATGTAAAGTTAAACATATTTCCACTAATAAATACTTTTTAAAAGTTCTCTGATTCATGACAAATTTTACTTTAGCTTCTTAATTCATACATTTCCAAGACGCCTGGAAACTGAAGATTATTTTAGGTATGGCACTTTTATTAATTAACTATTGTTTATACAAATGGAAACGACCATAGCATACAAACCCAACTTACAAAACAAAACAAATTCAAGTACAAAGTAACAACAGCTCAAAATAATACAAAATCCATTTTTATAAAGTCAATCCTGAAACCAAAAACACAAAAAATTCACTTTTAAATATACAGTGTTAAGCCCAGATAAGGTGAAACCCACAGATGAGAACGTTACCATAACAGTCAAAGTTCTTCAAAGAGCAAATGGTCATATTGTGTACAGTATGCAAATAAAATGCCACAAAAGGTCTAGTTTGTTCAGCTACATTACTACTTTGTGTGTTGGCTACATCCTGACTTAATAACATCAAAACGAATCATCAAAATATCCTGAGATGGAATGTGCAAGAACTAAGAGGTTCACTGCTGTTTGGCATTAGTCTAAACAACTCACTACTCAACATCTCTCTCCTAGATCTGTTTACACTGAAACAAACGTCAACTACAGAAATACAAAAATCACTATGTTCACCAAGGTGAACTTGGCTCAGCCTTGTGGACAACAGCTACCTGGGTCAGTTTTCAATGGGACGCCGGAAGATGCTCCTGGGTCTCTTGTTCCAGAATGCAAAATTTAATGGAAACACATACCTGCCGTCATTAAAGGTTTAATGCTAACATTTGGGCCAAAAACAATGTCATGGACTCAAGGCGAGAGATCCGCTGCCACGCATTAGGGGTGTTCGGCTGCGTTAGTGCTGTGCCCATTGAGGTTTCCTGGGGTGGACTCCTGCGAGACTGGGCCGGCGATATCCTCCATGCCATCAGCAGAGGTGCCTGTGGAGGTGCCAGGGGAGGCACAGCTGTCCCGCCGATGGAAGGCTTCACATAAGGGCAGGTCGGCACCGTCCCACAGACTGTAGCTTTCCAGAACAAAAACCCAGGTACAGAATCAGCATGGGGGGAGGGGGTGCTTGGGCACACGAAACACACACACGCAGATCCACCTGAGAAGATGGATACGGGTCACACCAACAGACACATGCATACGAAGCAGGGAGAGAGCGCACGAAACAAGAGCTGCCCTTAGAAATATCAAGATAAAAAGTGTCCCGGCCACAGAGTTAACTGTATTTCCATTACAAGTGGTATAATATTCCTTTTTGAACAGAATGTGGCATCTTTCACATGTTCCTTCTACAGTGGTGCAATACTTATGATATTTACATGTAGTTTTTGTTATTAGCAGAGGGTGAAAAACTGGAAGGACTGACGTATAACAGGGGCATTATCAAATTTAAGCCAATCTGCAAGTGCTAAATGTTCCTTTGGGTAACAGTTCAATGCTACACAAACCAAAGGGAGATGCTGAAAATGTACAAGAGAGAGACTTAAAAACTCAAAAGCCTGTGGAAAAAAAGGTGCCAAGAATTAGCTGGAGGATTTCTGACAAGGAAAAAAAGACAATAAAACTTCTCATTCTACTTTATTTCACTCCTAAAATGTGAGTGGTGCTATTTATAGCTGATACAAACAAGACATTAATCTGTATTAAATATAAACCATCTACTTCGATAAACTTTAAGTACAAGTAATTTTTTAAATGATCCGTTGTATAATGATGAGTTACTTTACAGCAGACAAAAACTGACATTCTCATAACATACTGAGAATGCACTAAACAAGAAAATTATATAGTCAAATTTATGTTGCCAAAATCCACATGGAAAAAACATCCAGTCAAAGAATTATGTTTGAACTAAAAATGGAATGAAACAGATCAGAGCATAATGGCAAATCAATTTAATACTTAGCCAAAAGGTTCTTTACCTTTAATTAATAATTTTCCCCATGGGGATCAAAAAAGTATTGATTACCTTAAATCTTTGAAAGGAAATAAATCTAAGACAAAATTTTTTGAATAAAAAAACTTTACAGTAAAAATACGATGTAGTTATATGCTACATTAAAATTCACTTTACTTTTCAATTAAAAAATGTCTTAAAATGGAATTTAATCAACTTTTCTATTAAATGGCAATATCAAATTGATTTACCATTTAGTTGCAAACTAAGAGCTACCAAAGAACACTTTCCCCTTTTCTCCAGTACAATGAGTATAAAGTGTAAAAAATTATAAATATGAATTTTGAAGGTGCAATTCCTTTATACATAAGATTCAGCTGCAAGACCAAAGCTTTCGAGTGTTATTTTATATTTCCAGGTAGTATAAGGATTATAATTCAGGTCTACACAAAAATCAGAGTTTAAACTAAAACATTCTGATAAACATAAGTGACTTGCAAGTGTATGGCTTTGTTTTCATACTGCATTTCTGAAACTTTGCTTTACTTTGTAACTTTGGCTTACATGCCTTGAGCACAATTTTACAAAGGCAAAAATTAAATATCTGGAGGTGAGTTCATTCTTTTTCTTGACTGATGGAGAAGCTGCATGTTTGAACATGCAGAAATACAAAAGTAGGTATAAACTAACAGTTCGGTTGATTTACGTATAAAATTGTTTAGAAGTGCTCACAGAAAATGAGAAATCCTACTTCAAAACACTGGCCTTGTCAACTATAACGTGAGCAAGGCACATTTTTTCAAGTTTCAATACAAATGGGAGGCTTTCCAAAGCATTTAAGACTCAGTGAATTCCCTTAATCTCATTTGACTTGGTGCTGTGGAAGGCATTTATTTACACAACAACAACTGTGATATAAGCCTGTCTTGTTTCAACTCTTGATCAAGGTTCTTAAAACATGCCCGCCGTGGGCTTTCTTCAAATGGCCTATTTATATTATATTTTATACATTCTTTAAAAGGCACAAGGGGCATAGATATAGCCAAGGGCGGTAATAGGTATATACTCTGACTATGAGCCTATTTGTACCTGGATGAGTAATATTCTTCCTCTAGCTCGTACAGGTCAATTGCAATCTCATCACGCAGGGCGGTGAGTTTCTTATCGCACTCTTCCTGCAGGGTGCGCAGCTGCTGGTTACGCTGGCTAATGGCCTCATTCACTGAAGGGAAGTCGTTCAGGATCAGGAATTGTTTCAGGTCTGACACCAGCTTCATCAGTGACTCCCCTGCACGTACCTGTGCAAGCATATTTAAAAATAATAATCATCAACATCCACTACAGCATCCATGGTAAAACTATACGGCACTGTCAACGAAATTATTAAAGTTACTGAGCACCTAATGAACTGAAGACCTTGCAGAGGAAGGATATTCTGGATCTAGAAATCCAACAGATTTTTGGAATGATCAGGAGGCTTGGTTATTGAGTAGACAAATCCTAAAATGAAAAGAACCTAAACACAAGATTAGGCTAAATGAACCAAACTAAAAATCCCAAATCTTCTAATATCATACCAGTTCAAACAGCTTAGCATTTACGATCACTCACAATATTTGCTGCTCTAACATGCATCTCATAATGGTCCTGTTCTCCCTGCGTTGCCCTGGAAACCTGGGTTTCGTCCTCCACCTGAAATTTTGAACAAACATTTTACAAGAATATGCATTTATTTGATAAAGCTTTAACTTAGCCGTCTTTTACAACACCCACCTTTGCAGTTTTGATGATCTCTGTAAAATTATCTAGAATGGACCTTATGTCATCCTTCAGCCTCTTGTTGTAGGACTGAAGGAGAGTTTCCTTGCTTTGCGGGAGGACTCTTTGCGTGGACATCTTCAGTAGCTACGATACTGTAAAAAAAAATCTCAGATAAGTTAATAAATAAGGAGGCGGTTGGTAAAGCACCAAGTTCTCATAAAGCAAGCATCCTTCACAAAGCAGAAAGCTGCTACCTTAGACTAAGCATCAGATACCACTGCACACATAATTAAACCGTAATACCTGCAGCTAGTGTGTAACATACTAAATGTAGTGTTAATTTATCAATTTGTTTCAGAATGATCATAAAAAGGCACAACGTACCTTTCAATTTACACAAATCCATACGGACATAAACTTGAGACAGTACATTCCCGAAGCGTAGGGAAAATTGTCGGTACCGGAACTGCCCACAATGCCGCAGAGCTCCTTCCTTTGACGTAGCGGATGTTGTCAGTACTTAAATTACCCACAATGCTTTCTCCTTCCTTTTCGTCTGATCTAAAATGGTGAGTGTGTGTGTTTTTACCATAGGGCGAAAGACTTGGCTTTCAATCTCTGAACATCCAGTTTATGCAACTTTAAAGATTCAGGAATATCATCATAGCGCGCGGGGAATGCATTGTGCTTAATGTTACAATAAATATTATTTAGAAAGTTTTCGGACAAAGTCGTTAAATACACTGCTCAGCTCAAGTCAAACATGAACTGTAACTGTACTTTGATAACATGTTTCGTATTCAGAAGAATAAATGCTGTATTTTAAATAAAGTGCGTTGCCGTCTCGCCTTTCTTTAAAAATGCAAAAGTTGTACGTGAAGTTGTTGGTTACAGCCCACCTAAGGGTTTAGCGCATCTTCGGGCTGCTTAGACGGACGCGGGACTGAGGCGGACGCACGTTGTCACATGTCTCGTTTTTACCTTTTTTGTTAGACTGCGTGTTCAAATTACGATATTAGCGTTGGACTTCAGTATAATGCTTAATTTCCGGTTAATGGGTTTTTTAGTTGAATGGCTGCTGCGATGATGCCTTGAATTTCTTCACCTGAATGCACTGTGTGGAGTAAAAACGAGCTTTTTAACACTGAGCTTCGGCCAAGCTTGTAACGGCGTGGATTCGTCTCTTTTTCATATGCGATTGAGAGAATAACTGCGTATTCTTTACGTCTTTGCAGCCGAAGGGGAAGAAGGCTAAGGGGAAGAAGGTGGCCCCGGCCCCTTCGGTGGCCAAAAAGCCAGAAGTAAAGAAGGTGGTCAACCCCTTGTTTGAAAAGAGGCCCAAGAACTTTGGCATTGGTAAGTAACGTGTGGCGTTAGTTTGGCACAATTTTTTTTTTCTGGCTCTTCCTTGCTTAAGAGTACAAAGCATTGAAGACTGTGCAGATGATGTAAAGAATATTTGCTATCTTATCTGTTGTGCTGACAACCAATCACCAAGATCGCTGATGCACATTTGTGCGGAGTGACTTTAAGATGCATTTTACACTAATTTGATCACTAGTAGGGTACATGTGGTCTTCCTAGGTCAGGATATTCAGCCCAAGCGTGACCTGACACGCTTCGTGAAATGGCCCCGTTACATCAGACTGCAGCGACAGCGTGCAATTTTGTACAAGCGTCTGAAGGTGCCACCTTCAATCAACCAGTTCACCCAGGCCCTGGATCGCCAGACGGGTAAGAGCACTTTTGGAGTATCATGATACTAGGATGTCTTCCATTTGTGATCATGTTGTCTAGACACTGTCTTGCATTTGTTGTTGGTGGATGCTATGTGGATTCTGCATTGAATGTTACAGTAGATGGGTAACCTGGCTTCTGCTCTTTCAGCAACACAACTTTTCAAGCTGGCCCACAAGTACAGGCCTGAGACTAAGCAGGAGAAGAAGCGTAGGCTGGTGGCCCGGGCTGAACAGAAGGCTGCTGGAAAAGGAGATGCCCCAACTAAACGACCACCTGTTCTGCGTGCTGGTAGGTTGGCATGACCTGGCATGGAGGGCCTACTTCTGTAGCTCTGTGGTTAATGTTTTTTTTTTTTTACCTACTATCTAGTATGCCCGAATAATCTTGGGCTTGAATTGGTCACATTTCATTTGCTTTGATGACCAGTTCTTAATCAGGCTGAACAGTCTCACCCAAAGGTACTTTTCAGGTATTATGGTAAAGTGCTCAGCCTGAGAACATGCTTAAAAAGTTGCTGGATGTTTCAGGTGTGAATACTGTTACCACTCTGGTGGAGAGCAAGAAGGCTCAGTTGGTCGTCATCGCCCATGACGTGGACCCTATTGAGGTATGGCATTTTACTGACCATTTCACTGTCTTGCTATGTGTTATACTGGAATTGAATATTTGAACGAAGGGGCACATGACAGAGTTAAAAAAAAAAATATATGCCGTACAACAGTTGCCACCTGATTTGAGGACAACCTACATTCTGGGCAGTTTTCAAGCACAAATTTTAGCTAAATTTAATGGATCTTTGTTTTCTTAAAGATTGCCGGTCTTAGCTGAAACATGCAAATTGTAGGCTTCATTCAGTTCTTCCTTTGTCATTGTGCAAATGAAAGTGTTAAAACCTCTGCTGAAGAGAAGCAACTTTGTACATCAAACTAGTGACTGAGTAACGTGAGCGTGTTTGGGCAACAGTTATGTTAATCTTTTCAACAAATACCTCTACAGCTGGTCGTTTTTCTTCCTGCACTATGCCGGAAGATGGGAGTCCCCTACTGCATAGTCAAGGGCAAGGCAAGGATTGGTCGTTTGGTTCACAGGAAGACCTGCACTTCTGTGGCCTTTACACAGATCAATCCGTAAGTAAAGTGCTTTAGATACTAGTTGCTAAGAAGAATGCACATTTTATTTTTGGGGCTTTTTGCCATGATGTCTGAATTTCTTCACCTGGACAACCATGTTGTTTCAAATGAGCTTTTTAACCCTGAGCAAAAGGTCCAAGCTCACGGCACCAGTTAGGACGCTTGTGTTATCAGCCATGTTGACTTTGCTGTTGTATTACAGTGAGGACAAAGGAGCTCTTGCCAAGCTGGTTGAAGCCATCAAGACAAACTACAATGATCGATACGAGGAGGTAAGACCCTTACCAGCTGGTTAAATAGTGAGTCAGGAATTGAATATGCCACAGCTTAGCCAGCCGTGCGGTCAGGATCAGGTTTGTGAAGTGAATGCCATGAAAGTGAGACTTGACTCGCTGTACACAACAGGTTTAATTTGAAATTGCTAATATCAGACTAATTCTCAGTTGAACAAACCTTTTGCAATGATGTCAGAATTTCTTCACCTGAAAAACCATGTTGTTTCAAATGAGCTTTTTAACCCTGAGCAGAAGGTTTAAGATCTGAGATACCACTGACCTATTAATGAACTTTTATTTTGATGTTCTGTAAATTGTACTGGCAAATCCAAGCTATTCAGACTTAATGTTGGAGAAATGCAAGAGCAACCCTGCACGATGTTCACAAGGTTTCGATGGTCTGGACCCCCTTTTTGCAATCCTGATGTTAAACTTCTCTCATCAGATCCGTCGTCACTGGGGAGGTGGCATCATGGGCCCCAAGTCAACGGCTCGTATTGCCAAGCTGGAAAAGGCGAAGGCCAAGGAACTGGCCACAAAACTGGGCTAAATACACAATGTCCCCCTTTTCATTGTGTATATAATAAAGTGGAAAAATCAAAGGCTTGCACTGGGTGGACCTTTATTTGCGGCCTTCATGCACATCACATACATGCATTGATCCAAGTGCCCCGGTGACTTAGCATGTCATGTGTTATGGGCTCCAAGTTGGTTGCATCCTTTTTATCATGGCTGACTGCAGGTGCCTGCTGTCTAGCACTGTACTGTGCAGTATGACATGATAGTGGCAAGTAGGCAGGTGTTCCTGATATGAGCCCCTAAATGAATTTTTTTCTGCAGTAGGTCAGCATATGCATCATGGCTTTAACAGCCCCAGTTACAATTTCAGTAAATAAGTAAAGTGATTGCTGCTAATTTGTAGCAAACATACCTACTATGTCCATAAAAAGTAGAAACCATTAAAGTGGAGGATGGTCCAAATTCAAAGCAAGATTGTTTAATTGACAGTTCACACATACTAGTTTCTAGCAATAAGGAATAGATTTAAAGAATTGTAGTCCCTTTTAGTTCTCAAAACAAGACAACTATCCATTCAAGTAGTGAGAAGAGGACTGTGCCTTCGTGGCCTGAAGCACAGACCTAGGGGGAACTTGCAAATTAAATCTAGGACCTCAGGTGTTAGAGAGGCACCCGCTTGATGAACTTGGTGTACCACATGTACGAAGTGACCAAACAAAGGCCATACCTGTTAAGGAAAGGAAGAAACATGGCGTTTGTGAAACTGAAGTAATGCAAACAAACTAAAACAAAGAATTCCAGGCTCACCATGTTACTATGTACTGCATGTGCTCATTCCTGAGGGAGACGCGTGTCTGCCCCCCAATGGGCCCTCCGGGAATTGTGCTGGCTAAAGAAATAATATTTGTTACTCTATCTGCTCGATTCAAGGTTGAATTGAAAGATCAGGGAGAGAAAAACTTGCTTACCGAGCTCAGCATCAATGAAAATGGGTTCTGCACCGGTGACCTTGGTCATTGCTTCCAAATCGCGAAAGTGCCATCGGTTCCCCTCAATGTTGTTATTTGGCACAAAAGGCTTACGCTGTTCTGTTAACCTCACCACCCCAACCAGGTCCACTTCATCTTCCACCTAAAAGACAAGTGTGGGACCTGCTAAAGACCACAGAAGCGGAATGCTAACAGATGCAGCTGTGGTACCACATCTAAATTCTTTTTACCTGTCCTTTCATTCTTGTTTCTGGTTTAATCTTCTTCTTTGGAACATAACCTCTGTTGACCAGAATTGTAATCCTGTAAAATTACAGAAAAAATGTTAAATCATCTGATCATGCTCTAATTATTCACAGTGACAAAATATGTCGAGTGCCTTTGTCATTGCAAATATATAAACCAATATAATAGATGGGATAATGAATATATAGAGGTATTTGGTACAATAGAATTTAGAACAAATAGCTTTCTCTATTTAAAATATTTTACATATATTGTGCACATGGATATCAAACATGGGGCTTCCCCTTGTCTCAGGCCCCATGTCTGCTGGGATATGCTCCTAACAAATCACTACCTAGCTCTGGATACGAGGCAGATGGATGGATGGACAGATGTAATGAGCACGCTCAGAGCTCATACCCCAGTTCTGTGCAGTGGAAAGGAGTGATGACATTGGCGCCCGATTCGCCACTGGATGTCAGCCTCCCCGCTTCTCTGGCTTCACGTTCTGGGTCGACCGGCGACCTCGGCATGATGTAAAGCTCCTTCGAGTGGTCAAAGCGCCCACGCACTTTAACACGCCGGTACTCTAGTTTGCTCAGTTCAATTTGACTGAAACAATGATCACAAAAATGCAATATAAAATCAAACCCACAGGCTGAAATGTCCAAAAATGACAGCAACCATATCTGCATATACACTGCTATCTTGTTACATAGTGTCAAATTTCTATACTGGTCCTGAAGGTTGTTTGCTATATGGTTGCTTTCATATGGCTACACTCTTAAAACACACTTAGATGCTAATAAGCAAAAATGGAAGATCTGACAATCTAGAAGTTATTCTTTTGGATGATTATTATTTTGTATGTGTAACAAAATGTCTTGTTTATGTACTGCTTCATTAGTATGTCTCAGTTTGCCTAATTAATTCCAGGGCTAAATACCACTCTCTTAATATGTCACTATTAAACACGATTTATATTATTGTAAGGGCTATAATCATTTTCAGTTTGGTATCTTATGTTTCTGAAGCAACTAGCTGGTCAAAGTTCAATGGCTCTTACTCAGTTGGGAGGTCAATAGGCTCAGCAGTGGTCAGACGTCTCAGGTCTTCAATCAACTGTAATTTCCATTCCCTACGTCTCACCTACATTAACACAGAAACTGGTTTCACACAGATATAACTTAACATGTAATAACTAAAGCTGATCCATAGCCTTGCTACAAAAGAACATTGCAAAAACATTAAAAATCTGGTTAATTTGCCAGTATAAAGTTTATTTGTGATTATCTATCTGTGATGACTCTTTTCCACCTTACAGCTATAGAGATTGCATACCTGCCAAGTCCCAAGGCCAAATGTGGTGACAGGAATGAGCAACAGAAACCATTTCAGAAACGAATCTTCTATTTTTTCTGTCTCAGCTGCTGAAGAATTTGACTGTCGGGCGCAGTTGATATTCTTCCCTGAACAAAGAAATGTATGACTGACCGTTAAGAGGGATTTAGAAAAGGCCGCTTCAAGTAATCACAGAGTTATTTGACAGGGAAATTATGTCTGCTGCGGTAAGGGAGTTTGATGCTACTTGCAGAGGTTACATCTTTCTGTTAAGGTCAAACGGGCAAACACAGGTTTGGTATGCAAGGACGTAATATTTTATAGAAGCTACACAGAACAGAAGATACACAAAACGGATGAGGAGACCAATATCACGCCATGGTCAGACCGAAGAAACTACACAGATAATAGTTACTTACTGCTTAAAAGTTTCAAATGAACCCTCTGCCCAAAAAGACTCCTCTTGCTGAGATGAACAAGGTTGGCCTTTTAAAACAGTAATGTGCAATATTTAAAATCGCTATCTAGATATAAAGCATTATAAGAAGTTGTAAAATGCACTAAAATCAGAGGACTTGATTTTGAAATTGAGTGTCCGGGCGCGTGAATCAATGTTAATCGTATTTAAACATCATTTGCACTTTTATAAGTGGAAAGCAGTTTGACACTTACATTGCTGCGTAAAACCTTCAAGAAGTTACCGGAATGCCTCTGCATAAACTTCACAGTGACACTCATCCTGATAGAAATTATATTTAAATACGCACACGATCCTCGTAAATTGCTACAACAACCAGTACAATTATCTTGCTATATTGGTAGTTTGCTCAATATATTGTAGCTTGTATTTGACGGCTCTACTACTACTACTGGCTTTCGTTTTACAGTGCGCATGCGTAATATTGTGTCGTCACACTATAGGCTTACGAATCGATTACTGCTTGGTGATCGTTAGTTGTAAGATGTAATAGTCTTTTTGTCCATTTTACGAGAATTGGAGAAATGGTTTAGCTTGATTTTACTCTGTACTGTTTTTTTTATAAATTGAGAAATGCTTCAAATTAGGAGTCTAGTTTCCCCTTGAATGACAACTGTAACTCTATTGCTTCTGCCTTGCCATGTGGGAAATGTGTCTTGCAGTCGCAAAGGCGTGCTGTTCGCAGTTTGCGTCCCTGTCGTCTGCTGTTGTTGTGTTGTAAGTTGACGTTTTGATTCAGTTTCGTAAGTTTCTTTTTGTTTTCCTCCAGAAATGTTGTATCATTTACAGATGTTTGAATTGTAAAGTGTACAGTAACTGTGCATTTTACAATTATCGTGTAAATACTGATAATTCCTAATTGCTATTATGTTTTGTTATACGAATATTTGTTAGAATTATGATAGTACCACCTCAACCAACGGATGAACCAACTGAAACAATAACGTTGTTCTATGTTTGTTTTAGGTCTCCTTTTTCATGGCGAGTCTAGCTTCCAAGGACGTCTATTTTCAGAAATTGGCCAGTAAAGTCTGTGTTTCCCAGAAAAAAGCACCACGGGAAAGGCCCTTCGGTAACGGAGCTGTTGTTCACCCATTCTCTCTTTGTATTTGGTTTTATTTATAAGTAACTTGGTAATGTGATAGGATTTGTTTTATTATTTAAATTTGACATACCTGAAGTCTGAAAGTGAACCTGTGTTGTACTTTTTAGTTCCATTTTGCAATGGAGCTAACGCAGGGCCAGCAAAGAAAAAGAAGCAGAAAAGCAAGCAAAATCAAACTGGAGGGAAAATGTGCAACGCTGAGCCACAAGCAAAGATAAAACACAAGAGTACCACCCGGCCAAAAGAGACGGAAGCCTCTTCTGCAGATCAGAATGCGTCAAAAGAGAATATCAATGACAAATCAGCTGTCAGAAAAGGTCTGTGTAAAAAAAATAAATAAAAACGTTTTTGGTCATTTTAATAGTTAATAAAGGTATACACATATCTGTTTCTTGTGTGCAAAAGTGTATAGTAACAAATTACAATGCAGTTTTTAACCATCAATTTGAAAAACCATTATACAAAAAAGGATCTTTTGTTTGGTTAAATAGCTTGTTTCACCATTTATAACCATACATGTCACTTCTATCATTTTGTAAAGTAATGCACATATATGAAGCTAATTTTGTCATTTCATTCTGACTTGTTTTATTAGAGGAGGTGGGTGATTCCAGAGACTTTTCTGCCGTTGACATTTTGCGTCAGAAGCTACATGAGAAGATTGAAAAGTCTCATGGCCATGTAAGTATCTGCAGAAAGTTATGTTCTTACCTAAACAGCTGATTTTATATGTGTATTAACATTTGACTTGTCATTTTTCCTCCATGTGTTTACAACCTTGTAATATTTAAACCAGGGATGTCAAACTCAAGTCCTGGAAGGCTGGAGCCCTGTGTAGCTTAGCTCTTTCCCTGTTCCACCACAAATGATTTAGCTTATGAGCTCTGTGGCAATTAGCACAAGGAGTTGAATCAGGTATGTTAAATGAGGGTAAACCAAAAACTGTGCAGGGCTCCGGCCCTCCAGGACTGGAGTTTGACACCCCTGATTTAAACCATTCAAATATTTTGTCATCATTGTGTCCCCTGGATAGTGCTGTAGCGTGTTCATCAGCTGTGTCGTTTTGTGGTCTTCTCTTTACATTCAGGATGTCGGTAAGACAACTTCATCAGAGGCTCGGGAGAAGAAGCAACAGCGACGCAAACAGGAAAGGGAACGCAAGAAGAGGAAAAGAAAAGAGTTCCGAATGAAGAAACTAGCAGAGAAAATGGACAAGGATGTAAAAATAGAGGATGAAGAAAGATCTGAAAATTCTACCATACAAAAATCTGGGGCTCCTGAAAAAGACTTAAGCAGCCTAGTATACAACAAGATAGACGCAGGCAAAGAGTTCATGAGCAAAGAACAAATGAAGAAAGAAAAGAAGAAGAGTGTGAAGGGCAATTTGACTCCTCTAACAGGCAAGAACTACAAGCAGCTTCTGAACCGCGTTGAGTCGCGCAAAGCCAAACTGGAAGAGCTGAGGGGCAAGGATGAGGCCAAGGCAAAAGAAATGGAGGAGAAGATGAAGTGGACCAACGTGCTGTACAAAGCAGAGGGTCTGAAGATCAAGGACAATGAGGACCTTCTGCGGGCTTCCCTGAAGAGGAAGGAGAAAATGCGTACCCAGAGGAAAAAACGCTGGGAGCAGCGGAGCACGCATGTCCTGGAGAAGATGCAGCATAGACAGGACAAGCGGCGCGACAACATCCAGAAGAGGAAGCATGCAAAGATGGAGAGGCGCAAGGAAAAGGCCCGCAAAAAGGGCCGTGTGCTGCCAGGGGACTTGGAGGGCTGACACTGTAAAGGACGATGTGACACACTTAATGTGCCCAAAAGCTGCTGCAGAGACGGGAACATACAATGCTAGTTTGTTACTATCATAAGGACTTTTAAATGACACTGTGCATTAGAGGTTCAAAGTTTTCTGTTCCTGGTTGTTCACCCTGCCAGTATGCAGTGTGGTGTGCATTTACACATTTTTGATTTGTGTCAGTTAATTTTACATTCTGTCATTTACAGGCAAGATCTTATTATAATTGAAAAACGGGCATCATATGAGTTGATTTTGTTGGTGCAAAATGATTTTCGGCTTTGCTTTTGGTTGTGGAACTGTGTACAGAATGTATACCTAACGGTGGGACAGTTTATGGTTACTACACAGACCATGAAATTGTGTGCATGGATATTTTACAAAAAAATCAGTTGTGAACTTCGGCATAATAACGCACAGACTGTCACAGTTATCCTAATGGGTATAGCTATAATGATAACGCATTGCAGCCCTAATGGGTATAGCTATAATG